GGAGTATTACCAGGACCCTTCAGTGGAGACACCTGAACTCCGTTATTTGGAGGAAGGTTCAAATACTTTTGGCCATATAGTGTACATTTGACTGCTTATCATGTGTATGGTCAGCGTTGGGCAGATCGTTATATGAAATATATCAGATTATGGGGTACACTGGGGATGAGTACATTTTTGCTGTACTCACCTCAATCAACCATTGAATTAAATTCCTTGTCACATGGCTGGGTCCATTGCCTTAGTGGAAAAAAAGCACATCTTTAGTAAATCCCCCCACAGTGTGCCCCTATGTAGTGTTCCCCACAAGCTGGATTTGCAAGTACCACCATGTAACCATCTCTGTGCAGCCTGACCACCACTTGTGCTGCAAGTAACAACCAGACTCCATTTTTTCACCCACCGGAAACAGCTGATTGGATGCTATGGACATCACAGACAGTTTTATCTGACAAATCAGGAGGAATGCAGGGAGGAGTGGCACGTACTGAAAATATTACAATGCTCCACACCAGGTTCTCCTGTCCGGGACTGACCCAACGTGGAGTTCTCCACTCTCCGCAAACACTGCAGTGACAGGTAGAAGCTCAGAGCAGCAAACTACACTGTAGTATTTTCATTAGCAGTGTGCTGCCCCCCATTGGTGATATCTGGTGCTGCATGACAACCGAATGTTTGCGTCATTACAGATTTTGGCACATGGTGACTCAGCGGGGATGGAACTACAAGTCCCAGCAGGGCTGGCAGGGCGCTCTGGTTCTTGCAGTTCCACCACAGCTTCAGCCGATAATTTGGAAGCCTGTATAGAGGCTGTATAGGTCCCCATATTGCTGGTGCTCCCAATGTTCTGCCCAGTGCAGTGTGCATTTCCCACACACGGCATGTTCACAGAAGTCTCTGCTGCCTCCAAGAGAGACCTGACCTCAACCACTATACCGTATAGAATCCAGCAGCCTTGTATTGGAAATAATACCAGTACACATAGGACGCCATATACCAGCTCTGTGCCAGGCTCCTTTGGGCTCCACACACATCAGGGTGAAGGTTTATCCAAAACGTTTTGGGATTTTGGGAATAGCGCTGCCTGGGTACTTTTTTTTTCCTCTTTTTTATCTTGATGTGCTTTTTGTGATGGTACCTAAGCTAAATGTTGGGGGAGAGGTTCCCCTTTACGTCTTGAAGTGTTGGCTGCCCCTTCAAGCCACTCAACATAATATCACGCCTACATCCTAAGACGTTCTGTCTACTGGTCCCTCAACTGCCATTTATGGAGGTTTGTTACATCTGTGAGGTGTGAAAAATATCTGGCTTTCAGAACCATCCTCGAGATCTAAACTCTAGAACTGGGAGAAGACTGCAGATTGGCCAATGGCGACATAGACCGTCCAATCCACTAATCCAAACATGGCAAAGTGTCCTATAGCAGCCAATGCTCCTACAAAAAACTTTTTTATTTGATGGGTTTTTTGTGATGGTACCAAAACGTAATGCTGGGTGAGAGGTCCCCTCCTCTCCTTGTAGTGTTGGCTGCCCCTTTAAGCTGCTCAACGGCATGTCTCACCCAGGGGCGGACTGACAACTCATGGGGCCCCGGGCAATAAGGGATCATGGGGCCCCTGTGTCCTTGCCCACACTCAAAGCACACCCAAGCCTATAAAAGGTACCAGGGGCATTTCATAGGGCCCCCTACTGACCCCGGGCCCTCGGGCAGTGCCCGAGTGCTCGAATGGTCAGTCCGCCCCTGGCCTCACCTACATACTGAAACATTCTGGCTCTTGGTTCCACAATGTTTATTTATGGAGGTTTTTTTACATCTGTGAGGTCCAACAATTTTCTGCATTACTGAGCCACCCCAAAATCTAACTCCTAGAACTGGGACAAAACAGCAGACTGGGCAAGGGTACCATAGACCGTCCAATCCAGTATCCCAAACACAGCCAAATGTCCTATAACAGCTAATGCTCCTAAAAAAAGGATTTTTTCTCCTTTTTTTTAAATTTGTTCTTTTTGTTATGGCACCAACCTAAATGTTGGGTGAAAGGTTCCCCTTCTCTCCTTGTAGTGCTGGTGGACCCTTTAAGCCACTCAACAGAATGTCGCATTTATTTAATTCTCGGTATTCCAGACCCACCTCAAGATCTAAACTCTAGAACTGGGAGAAGAAAGCAGATTGGACAATGGTACCATCCATCGTCCAATCCACTGATCCAAACATGGCAAAGTAACCTGTAACAGCTGATGCTCCTTAAAAAAAAAGGGACATCTGACACGTTTGTGCAGCTCTTTCCATTACTGTCAATGAAGACCAGGAGCTCTGCCGTGATTGAGGTTCGATCTGTCGTGGCCTTGAAACTTAACCCATTGTTGGCAGCACTCCTGAACCAACCTAAATGTTGGGTGAAAGGTTCCCCTTCTCTCCTCATAGTTCTGGCGGACCCTTTAAGCCACTCAACAGAATGTCGCATTTACTTCCTAAACAATTCTGGCCCTTGGTTCCACAACGTTTATTTAATTCATGGAGGTTTATTATGTCTGCAAGGTGTGAAAATTCTCGGTATTCCAGACCCACCTCAAGATCTAAGCTCTAGAACTGGGAGAAGAAAGCAGATTGGACAATGGTACCATCCATCGTCCAATCCATTGATCCAAACATGGCAAAGTAACCTGTAACAGCTGATGCTCCCAGTGACATCTGACACGTTTGTGCAGCTCTTTCCATTATTGTCAATGAAGACCAGGAGCTCTGCCGTGATTGAGGTTCGATCTGCTCGTGGCCTTGAAACTTAACCCATTGTTGGCAGCACTCCTGAAGAGGGTGCTAACTCAAAGCCTTAAATTCCGATCGGTTGGTATATAACTCAAGAAAAAACAATGTGGACTCAAACGACCCAATATTTACTCAATAAATGCGTGTTTTTTTGAGTAAATATTGAGTCACTTGAGTCCATATTGTTTTTTTTTTCTTTTGGCAGTGTTCTTGGGTACTGCAATTTTTTTTAAGCAGAGGGAATTGCCAAAAAGGGATTAAACAAGTCATCAAGAACACGTACGTAGTTCAGCTTTGGGTTCTACAAAAGTGCCCAATCCAAAGGAGATCTGCTGCACTGCAAAAGTGCCCAATCTAAAGGAGATCTGCTGCACTGCAAAAGTGCCCAATCCAAAGGAGATCTGCTGCACTACAAAAGTACCCAATCCAAAGGAGATCTGCTGCACTACAAAAGTACCCAATCCAAAGGAGATCTGCTGCACTGCAAAAGGGCCCAATCCAAAGGAGATCTGCTGCACTACAAAAGTGCCCAATCTAAAGGAGATCTGCTGCACTGCAAAAGTACCCAATCCAAAGGAGATCTGCTGCACTACAAAAGTACCCAATCCAAAGGAGATCTGCTGCACTACAAAAGTACCCAATCCAAAGGAGATCTGCTGCACTACAAAAGGGCCCAATCCAAAGGAGATCTGCTGCACTACAAAAGTACCCAATCCAAAGGAGATCTGCTGCACTACAAAAGTGCCCAATCCAAAGGAGATCTGCTGCACTGCAAAAGTACCCAATCCAAAGGAGATCTGCTGCACTGCAAAAGTACCCAATCCAAAGGAGATCTGCTGCACTACAAAAGTGCCCAATCCAAAGGAGATCTGCTGCACTTCAACAAATGTTAAACCTGGGTAACTTCATTCATCTGGTCTACATCGACAGAGAAGCCTCACCAGAGATTCTTTGTTCATGTTGTCGGGATGAGTAAAGTTCTCAGCATTTGAATTATATTTAAACTGTTGCGCCTTCTCCTTTTGGATTAGTGAAGTCTATGGGACATAGGTTGAGTTTTTGTTGGCGTTTAGCAGCTGATCTTCCCTGAATGTGACCCAATTCGGGGTTTGGGAGCAGCGTGCTCTGTAGTAAAGTGGCCGCTGACACCCAGACTGGACTGTTTCCTGAACTCCTTTCATTATTTGTCTATCAAAAAATGACCCCAAGACAAAGCCTCATGTATGGCTGGTATAGACTCTAAGGGCATTAACGTTTAGGTATCATGGCACGAAGGGTCAGTACATGGCGGTAAAATTTGGCAAGTCCCATTATTGATATATTTGGTTGTCACCAGGCCAGGAGCACTGGGAAGACCCAGATTGGCAATACCTTTGTAGGTCTGGAATCATTAGGAAGACTTAAATGAAGCTGCTGGATTGGTAACCACCTCAGTGGCAGTGGTTGTGGTTGGCAGTGGTGAGACGTCTAACTCAGAGACGCAGAGACCGTTTGATCCACAGGAGGGCGCTGCGGTACCCTTACGAAGGACCATTAGGAACGTCCCTCGTGGTACGCACAGCTCAGTAGCAGCTCCTCTTTTGTGATATCAGTCAGTGGCGCACTGGGCGGATGTGTATGTAGACGCAGCAGGTCGGGAAAGTGGCCCCTTTTGTCACAGAGTGGCCCTCCACTTCCTGCTGTCCTTCTCAAGTAACAGGAATACGAAGTGTTTGCATTTCTCTTCTTCTCTCTCCCCAGTTCAGTAAAATGTCCTACGTGGCCGGGGAGGAGTTACGGAGGACGCACAACCCCCGGCCTCCCCGGGTTAAAAAATAAAAACTGAGCTTATAAAACTCTAAAAAATAAGATTTCATGTAAACTAAAATTAGAAGAGTTAGATCTACGTTGTGAGATGATTCCATCTCTCTTCCCCCCCCCCCCCCCCCCGTGTTCTCCCATAGCGCACATGGTTGGTGTCCTGGCTATGAGAGTCGGGGGCAGGGCGATCCCGGGCCGTGGCTCCTCTGCTCAGCAGCTGAACGATTGATGTCTCCTCGTGGATGGGAGAAACAGTTTGATAGTTATTCTGTTGAATGCTCTGAGGTGACGGGTTGGAAAGAGGACAATGGAGGATACGACTGGTCTGGATGAAGACAAGAGGGAGACGGGGTTGGGGGGGGGGGGGGGGGGGGAAGGGTAAAGACGCATCCATACCACCAGTGCCTTTCTCCACCCCTTCCACAGGAGCTGGTTACACTTTAGAGTCCTGGCTGTGGGCCTGCCCGTTGCTGCCCTGTATTGTTAGACCGATCTCCTCCTTCTTCTGCTTCTCCGGGTTCAGCGGCTGGATCTCAGGGCTGCCCTCCTCCAGTGCGTATCGGCCAGTCCGGTGCTCAAGCAGAGCCGGTCCCCAGTCTTTGCTGGCCTTCACCGAGTTCTTCAACCGCTGCCAATGGGACAAGGAACCAATCAGAGGCTAAGCAATGCACCAATCAGGTTACTTGTAGGCTACAACTATGGCAACCCCCAGGAGGGTACAAATTCTGTCAGATCTCCTTTGTTGTCGGCAAACCAGGGCAAATTTAACTGCACATAGCAATTGCCTGCAAGTAGAGGCGGACTGACCATTTGGGAACTCGGGCACTGCCCGAGGGCCCGGAGTCAGTAGGGGGCCCCATGAGATGCCCCTGGTACCTTTAATAGGCTTTTTTGGGTGTGGTTTGAGTGTGGGCAAGAACATAGGGGCCCCATGATCCCCTATTGCCCAGGGGCCCCATGAGTTGTCAGTCCACCCCTGCCTGCAGGTCAACACTAAGAGCCTCCCCCACCTCATTATTGGCCTATCACTGTGACTGCAACCTCATTGACCAACAGTGAGGTGCTGAAGATGGGATGGTGCGGAATACAACCAACAGCAAGGACATGTGGCCCCTATCAGTGCATCCCAACCTTGCAGACTGACACGGGAGTGTCCATTGTGACTCTAACAACCTCTCTGACGCCAGAAACTCTTGTGACTCCACCAACACCTGTGTCTCCAACTCTCCTGTGTCTCCAACTCTCCTGTGTCTCCAACTCTCCTGTGTCCCCAGCGACCCTTGCGAACCAGTAACTCTTGTGACTCCAACAACCGTGTATTTCTAGCAATCCTAGTGACTCTTGTGGCTCCAATGACCCTCTGACTCCAATAACCCCTATGTCTCCAGCAACCCTTGTTACGCCACCAAAGCCTGTGACTCCAATGACCCATGTGTCGTGTCTCTAGCAGCCCTTGTGAACCAGTAACCATTGTGACTTGTCTCCAACAACCCCTTGTGTATAGTGACCCTAGTGACTCTTGTGACTCCAATGACTCTTGTGTCTCCAGCAAGCAACCCTTGGTGCTCTAGTAACCCCTGTGACTCCAGCAATCCTTGTGACTCTAGCAATCCTTGTAAGTTCAGCAACCCCTGTGTCCCTTTTGACTCCATCAACACCTGTGTCCATTCAGCCTTGTGTCTCCAGCAACCATTGTGTCTCCAGTGACCCTTGTGACTCTAGGAACTCTTGTGAACCAGTGACCCCTGTGTCTCAAATGACCCTTTTGTCTCCAGTAACTCTTGTGACTCCAGCAACTCCTGTGTCTCCATCGTCCCTTTTGACTCCATCAACCCGTCTCCAATGACTCGTGTGAACCAGCAACCCTTGTGTCTCCAGCAACCATTTTGTCACCTGTGACCCTTGTGTCTCCACCAATCCATGTGACTCCAACAATCCTGTGTATCTAGCAATCCTAGTGACTCCTGTGACTCCAAAGACCCTTGTGTCTCCAGCTGCCCTCATGACTCCAACAACCCCTGTGTCTCCAGCAACCCTTGTTACTCCACCAAGGCCTGTGACTCCAATGACCCCTTTGTGTACAGTGATCCTTGTATCTCTAGAATTCTTTTGACTCCAATGGCCCCCGTGTCTCTAGTGACCCTTGTGAACCAGTAACTCTTGTGACTTCAATGACCCTTGTGTCTCCAGCAACCCTTGGTGTTCCAGCAACTTTTGTGACTTCAGCAACCCCTGTGTCTCCTCTGACTCCATCAACACCTGTGTCCATTCAGCCTTACGTCTCCAGCAACCATTGTGTCTCCAGTGACCCTTGTGACTCCAGGAACTCTTGTGAACCAGTGACCCCTGTGTCTCAAATGACCCTTTTCTCTGCAGCAACTGTTGTGGCTCCAGTGGCTCGTGTGTCTCCAGCTACCTTTGTGAATCAGTGACCCTTGTGTCTCCAGCAACCCTTGTGTTTCCAACGATCCCTGTTACTCCAACAACCCTTTGTCTCCAGCAACCCTAGTCCCTCTTGTGACTCCAATGACCCTCGTGAACCAGACTCCCAACAACCCCTTTGTGTCCAGTGACCCTTGTAACTCTAGCAATTCTTGTGACTCCAATGACCCTTGTGTCTCCAGCAGCCCCTGTGTCTCCTGCAATACTTGTGACTTCAGCAACCCCTTTGTCCTTTCTGGCTGCATCAACATCTGTCTCCAATGAGTCTTGTGTCTCCAGCAACCATTGTGTCTCCAGTGACCCTTGTGACTCCAACCACTCTTGTGCTCCAGTGACCCCTGTGTCTCAAATGACCCTTTTGTCTCCAGTAACTCTTGTGACTCCAGCGACTCCTGTGTCTCTAGCTACCTTTGTGAATCAGTGACCCTTGTGTCTCCAGCAGCCCTTGGGATTTTAGCAACCCCTGTGTCCCCATCATCCTTCTGAATCCCTCAACCCCTGTGTCTATAGCGACCACCCCCCTTTGAACCAGTGACCCTTGTGTCTCCAGAAGTTTCTGTGTCTCCAGTGACCCTTGTATCTCCAGAAGTTTCTGTGTCTCTAGTGACCCTTGTATCTCCAGAAGTTTCTGTGTCTCTAGTGACCCTTGTGTCTCCAGAAGGTTCTGTGTCTCTAGCGACCACCCCTGTGAACCAGTAACCCTTGTGTCTCCAGAAGTTTCTGTGTCTCTAGTGACCCTTTTGTCTCCAGAAGTTTCTGTGTCTCTAGTGACCCTTGTATCTCCAGAAGTTTCTGTGTCTCTAGTGACCCTTGTATCTCCAGAAGTTTCTGTGTCTCTAGTGACCCTTGTGTCTCCAGAAGGTTCTGTGTCTCTAGCGACCACCCCTGTGAACCAGTAACCCTTGTGTCTCCAGCAGCCCTTGGGATTTTAGCAACCCCTGTGTCCCCATCATCCTTCTGAATCCCTCAACCCCTGTGTCTATAGCGACCACCCCTTTGAACCAGTGACCCTTGTGTCTCCAGAAGTTTCTGTGTCTCCAGTGACCCTTGTATCTCCAGAAGTTTCTGTGTCTCTAGTGACCCTTGTATCTCCAGAAGTTTCTGTGTCTCTACTGACCCTTGTGTCTCCAGAAGGTTCTGTGTCTCTAGCGACCACCCCTGTGAACCAGTGACCCTTGTGTCTCCAGAAGTTTCTGTGTCTCTAGTGACCCTTTTGTCTCCAGAAGTTTCTGTGTCTCTAGTGACCCTTGTGTCTCCAGAAGTTTCTGTGTCTCTAGTGACCCTTTTGTCTCCAGAAGGTTCTGTGTCTCTAGCGACCACCCCTTTGAACCAGTTACCCTTGTGTCTCCAGAGGTTTCTGTGTCTCCAGTGACCCTTGTGTCTCCAGAAGTTTCTGTGTCTCTAGTGACCCTTTTGTCTCCAGAAGGTTCTGTGTCTCTAGCGACCACCCCTTTGAACCAGTTACCCTTGTGTCTCCAGAGGTTTCTGTGTCTCCAGTGACCCTTGTGTCTCCAGAAGTTTCTGTGTCTCCAGTGACCCTTGTATCTCCAGTGATCTTGTGCCTCCAGTGCCCCCTGTATCTCCAGCAGGTCCTGTGTCTCCAGTGCTCCCAGTGCATCCTATCTCATGCAGTGACCCCACAGCATCCTGTGACTCCATTGTTCCCTGAGTGCCTCCATGACACCTATGTCCCTGTGCAGCCTCAGGAACAGTCCTGTATTTCCGGCACTGTCTCTCTCCCTGTAGATACAGACCCCTGTCCTCTACACAGCTCATGTACATCAGTGACTCAACGTGAGCCCCGGGAAAAGTCTAAATGCCTAAAACACAAAGTAAGATCCACACCAATTTGGTTGGTCCAGAAATCTTACATTTGTAAGTTCTTACATGGAGAGACGTCTACAGCCCCCCCCCCCCTTCATCAGGGCTGAGAGAATACAAGAGAGAAATACAAACTATAAAAATGGATAAAAATAGCAAATACTTTCAAAGAAGTATCAGTTTTTGGTTATATTTTATTTTTGTGTTGCACTTCCTGTTTGTATTCTTCAGCCCTGATGATGGGGACTGTAGCATCCCCCTGATGATGGGGACTGTAGCATCCCCCTGATGATGGGGACTGTAGCATCCCCCTGATGATGGGGACTGTAGCATCCCCCTGATGATGGGGACTGTAGAATCCCCCTGATGATGGGGACTGTAGCATCCCCCTGATGATGGGGACTGTAGCATCCCCCTGATGATGGGGACTGTAGCATCCCCCCTGATGATGGGGACTGTAGCATCCCCCTTATGATGGGGACTGTAGCATCCCCCCTGATGATGGGGACTGTAGCATCCCCCTGATGATGGGGACTGTAGCATCCCCCTGATGATGGAGACTGTAGCATCCCCCTGATGATGGGGACTGTAGCATCCCCCTGATGATGGGGACTGTAGCATCCCCCTGATGATGGGGACTGTAGCATCCCCCTGATGATGGGGACTGTAGCATCCCCCTGATGATGGGGACTGTAGCATCCCCCTGATGATGGAGGCTGTAGCATCCCCCTGATGATGGGGACTGTAGCATCCCCCTGATGATGGGGACTGTAGCATCCCCCTGATATGTGTTGGATATAACCCGTTATAATGGATATACCTCCAGGGCATGTGTAGGGAGGCCAATAATTTGGGGAGCTAAGCTCTCCTATGGACCCTTATCCCACTGACACCAATTCAATGAAGCACTATTCTCCCTGGGGGCCACTATCCCACTGACACCAGTGATTTGTGGGACCATTCTCCCTGGGGGCCACTATCCCACTACCATTGATGATCTGGAGTTATTCTCCTTTGGGAGCCACTATCCCACTGGCACCAACGATTTGGGGGCTAGTCTCCCCTGCAGGCCACAATCCGACTGGCACCAGTGATTTGGGGGCTAGTCTCCCGTGCAGGCCACTATCCCACTGGCACCAGTGATTTGGGCGCTAGTCTCCCCTGCAGGCCACAATCCGACTGGCACCAGTGATTTGGGGGCTAGTCTCCCCTGCAGGCCACAATCCGACTGGCACCAGTGATTTGGGGGCTAGTCTCCCCTGCAGGCCACAATCCGACTGGCACCAGTGATTTGGGGGCTAGTCTCCCGTGCAGGCCACTATCCCACTGGCACCAGTGATTTGGGCGCTAGTCTCCCCTGCAGGCCACAATCCGACTGGCACCAGTGATTTGGGGGCTAGTCTCCCCTGCAGGCCACAATCCGACTGGCACCAGTGATTTGGGGGCTAGTCTCCCTTGCAGGCCACAATCCGACTGGCACCAGTGATTTGGGTGCTAGTCTCCCCTGCAGGCCACAATCCGACTGGCACCAGTGATTTGGGCGCTAGTCTCCCCTGCAGGCCACAATCCGACTGGCACCAGTGATTTGGGGGCTAGTCTCCCCTGCAGGCCACAATCCGACTGACACCAGTGATTTGGGGGCTAGTCTCCCCTGCAGGCCACAATCCGACTGGCACCAGTGATTTGGGGGCTAGTCTCCCCTGCAGGCCACAATCCGACTGGCACCAGTGATTTGGGGGCTAGTCTTTCCTGCAGGCCACAATCCGACTGGCACCAGTGATTTGGGGGCTAGTCTCCCCTGCAGTCCACAATCCCACTGGCACTAATGACTTGGGGGCTAGTCTCCCCTGCAGGCCACAATCCCACTGGCACCAATGACTTGGGGGCTAGTCTCCCCTGCAGGCCACAATCCGACTGGCACCAGTGATTTGGGGGCTAGTGTCCCCTGCAGGCCACAATCCCACTGGCACCAATGACTTGGGGGCTAGTCTCCCCTGCAGGCCACAATCCCACTGGCACCAATGACTTGGGGCTAGTCTCCCCTGCAGGCCACAATCCGACTGGCACCAGTGATTTGGGGGCTAGTCTCCCCTGCAGGCCACAATCCGACTGGCACCAGTGATTTGGGGGCTAATCTCCCCTGCAGGCCACAATCCGACTGGCACCAGTGATTTGGGGGCTAGTCTCCCCTGCAGGCCACAATCCGATCGGCACCAGTGATTTGGGGGCTAGTCTCCCCTGCAGGCCACAATCCGATCGGCACCAGTGATTTGGGGGCTAGTCTCCCCTGCAGGCCACAATCCGACTGGCACCAGTGATTTGGGGGCTAGTCTCCCCTGCAGGCCACAATCCGACTGGCACCAGTGATTTGGGGGCTAGTCTCCCCTGCAGGCCACAATCCGACTGGCACCAGTGATTTGGGGTTATTCTCCACTGGGGGACTTATTGGAGTTTGCACAGCTTTGGGGACCCACTTCCTGTTTGTATTCTTCAGCCCTGATGATGGGGACTGTAGCATCCCCCTGATATGTGTTGGATATAACCCGTTATAATGGACCTCCAGGACACGTGTAGGGAGGCCACGTAATGGAACTGCCTGGATCTGACTACAAGCTCTCTGCAGACGTCTGGAAGTGGTAGGGAGTCCACTAAACGAGTACTATTGCCATGGCTGCAAAGAAGCCTGGCATGAACGGACAGATTGTCCCATGGATGGACTGCACATGTCTACGTATGAGACGTTGGTGTCCATCATATAGACCCACCTGGAGGAAAGTGTCCCCGTCAGACCGCCAGATCCTGAAGATGGCATATCCAGGGATACAGACGACCGACGAGAGCGCCATCAGGAATCCCAGGGAGATGGCCCAGTCTGGGTAGATGTACTCGTTGTATGTGATTGGCCGATACTGAATGACGGTGAAGATTAAGATGAACTGGAGAGCAATCAGAAAGAAAAAACGTGAGTTTGGAGGACTCCTTCCAATGTAAATGTATGGGGGTTACGTATGAAGCCCACAGCAACCAATCACAATCCTTTTTAGATTTTAAATTCTGCACCTCATGCTGATTGGTTGCTTTGTTCACTACAAGGTGAAAAAGAGGAAAGGCAGGAGTGAGATGGGATCTGATTGGTGGAAGCTCCCACATTCGTTCCCATCCTCCATGTGACCTTCAGCAATACATGTCCCGGGCCCCTGCCTGCTGTGCCACTGAAAAAGCCACGGAACTACTACTACTCCTTGCATGAATGAAAGTACCACGTACAGGGGCGGACTCACCATTTGGAAATCCGGGCACTGCCCGAGGGCCCGGGGTCAGTAGGGGGCCCCATGAGTTGTCAGTCTGCTCCTGACCACGTAGGATATTACTCTGTGGGCACCCAATGGGTCTGAAATAGTTCCAGCATTGCTGTGTCCTTAGGTAAGATAAGTACCCCTACTGACACCAATGATTTGGGGAGAACATTCTTCCTCGGGGCCCCTATCCAACTGACACTAATGATTTGGGGAGACATTCTTCCTCGGGGCCCCTATCTAACTGACACCAATGATTTGGGGAGACATTCTTCCTCGGGGCCCCTATCCAACTGACACCAATGATTTGGGGAGACATTCTTCCTCGGGGCCCCTATCCAACTGACACCAATGATTTGGGGAGACATTCTTCCTAGGGGCCCCTATCCAACTGACACCAATGATTTGGGGAGACATTCTTCCTCGGGGGCCCCTATCTAACTGACACCAATGATTTGGGGAGACATTCTTCCTCGGGGCCCCTATCTAACTGACACCAATGATTTGGGGAGACATTCTTCCTCGGGGCCCCTATCCAACTGACACCAATGATTTGGGGAGACATTCTTCCTCGGGGCCCCTATCTAACTGAGACCAATGATTTGGGGAGACATTCTTCCTAGGGGCCCCCTATCCAACTGAAGCAAATGATTTGAGGAGGCACTGTTCCTCGAGGCCCCTATCCAACTGACACCAATGATTTTGGGAGGCATTGTTCCTTAGGGGCCCCTATCCAACTGACACCAATGATTGGGGGTTATTCTCTTCTAATGCGCACTATTCTACAGGGACCAATGATTTGATGATTTGGGGACTATTATCCTATTTACACCAATGATCCTGGGGGGGGGGGGCACTCTACCCTGGGGCCCACTATCCAACTGACACCAATAATTTGGGGAGCTTTGCTCTCCTATGGACCCTTATCCCACTGACACCAATTCAATGAAACACTATTCTCCCTGGGGGCCACTATCCCACTACCATTGATGATTTGGAGTTATTCTCCTTTGGGAGCCGCTATCCCACTGGCACCAATGTAGTAGCAGTGTAGTAGTAATGTAGTAGTGGTGCAGTAGCAGTGTAGCAAGGTGTAGTAGCAGTGTGGTGGTGGTGTAGTAGCAATGTAGTAGTGATGTAGTAGCAGTGTAGTAGTGATGTAGTAGTAATCTAGTATCTAGTGGTGTAGTAGCAGTGTAGTAGTGGTGTAGTAGCGGTGTAGTAGTGGTGTAGTAGCAATGTAGTAGTGGTATAGTATCAGTGTAGTAAGGTGTAGTAGCAGTGTGGTGGTGGTGTAATAGTGGTGTAGTAGCAGTGTAGTAAGGTGTAGTAGCAGTGTGGTAGTGGTGTAGTAGCAGTGTAGTAAGGTGTAGTAGCAGTGTAGTAGCAGTGTAGTAGGGGTGTAGTAGCAGTGTAGTAGTGGTGTAGTAGTGGTGCAGTAGCAGTGAAGTAGTGGTGTAGTAGCAATGTAGTAGTGGTGTAGTAGCAGTGTAGTAGCAGTGTAGTAGCGGTGTAGTAGCAGTGTAGTAGTAGTGGTGTAGTAGCAGTGTAGTAAGGTGTAGCAGCAGTGTGGTGGTGGTGTAGTAGTGGGTGTAGTAGCAGTGTAGTAGCGGTGTAGTAGCAGTGTAGTAGTAGTGGTGTAGTAGCAGTGTAGTAGCAGTGTTGTAGTGGTGTAGTAGCAGTGTAGTAGTGGTGCAGTAGTGGTGTAGTAGCAGTGTAGTAGTGGTGTAGTATCAGTGTAGTAAGGTGTAGTAGCAGTGTAGTAGTGTAGTATCAGTGTAGTAGCAGTGTAGTAGTGGTGTAGTATCAGTGTAGTAGCAGTGTAGTAAGGTGTAGTAGCAGTGTAGTGGTGGTGTAGTAGTGGTGTAGTAGCAGTGTAGTAGTGTGTAGTAGTGGTGTAGTAGCAGTATAGTAGCAGTGTAGTAGTGGTGTAGTAGCAGTGTAGTAGTGGTGTAGTAGCAATGTAGTAGTGGTGTAGTAGCAGTGTAGTAGCAGTGTAGTATCAGTGTAGTAAGGTGTAGTAGCGGTGTAGTAGTGGTGTTAGTAGTGGTGTAGTAGCAGTGTAGTAGTGGTGTAGTAGCAGTGTAGTAGTGGTGTAGTATCAGTGTAGTAGCGGTGTAGTAGCGGTGTAGTAGCGGTGTAGTAGCAGTGTAGCAGTGGTGTAGTAGCAGTGTAGTAGTGGTGTAGTAGCAGTGTAGCAGTGGTGTAGTATCAGTGTAGTAGCAGTGTAGTAAGGTGTAGTAGCAGTGTAGTAGCGGTGTAGTAGCAGTGTAGTAGTGGTGTAGTATCAGTGTAGTAAGGTGTAGTAGCGGTGTAGTAGCAGTGTAGTAGCGGTGTAGTAGCAGTGTAGTAGTGGTGTGTAGTATCAGTGTAGTAGTGGTGTAGTAGCAGTGTAGTAGTGGTGTAGTAGCAGTGTAGTAGCGGTGTAGTAGCAGTGTAGTAGCGGTGTAGTAGCAGTGTAGTAGTGGTGTAGTATCAGTGTAGTAGTGGTGTAGTATCAGTGTAGTAGCAGTGTAGTAGTGGTGTAGTATCAGTGTAGTAAGGTGTAGCAGCAGTGTAGTAGTGGTGTAGTATCAGTGTAGTAGTGGTGTAGTAGCAGTGTAGTAGCAGTGTAGTAGCGGTGTAGTAGCAGTGTAGTAGTGGTGTAGTATCAGTGTAGTAGTGGTGTAGTATCAGTGTAGTAGTGGTGTAGTATCAGTGTAGTATCAGTGTAGTAGTGGTGTAGTATCAGTGTAGTAAGGTGTAGCAGCAGTGTAGTAGCGGTGTAGTAACAGTGTAGTAGTGGTGTAGTAGCAGTGTAGTAAGGTGTAGTAGCGGTGTAGTAGCGGTGTAGTAGCAGTGTAGTAGCGTGTAGTAGCAGTGTAGTAGCGGTGTAGTAGTGGTGTAGTAGCAGTGTAGTAAGGTGTAGTAGCGGTGTAGTAACAGTGTAGTAGTGGTGTAGTAGTGGTGTAGTAGCGGTGTAGTAGCAGTGTAGTAGCGGTGTAGTAGCAGTGTAGTAGTGGTGTAGTATCAGTGTAGTAAGGTGTAGTAGCAGTGTGGTGGTGGTGCCTACAGAGACTTTGAGCTCCCAGAGGGATCCTCCAGGTCCGGTATACACAGAGTGGCTCAAGGCTGGAACAACATAGCGGGAGTTCATCTTTTACTGGTCGTATCCTTTCCTTGTTCCTGTTCCCAGCACAGGACGACCCCCTGGAATACCCCGAAATGTACGCAGATCAGTGAAGGTGGTCAGGATACTTACAAAGATAATGGCTGGGGAGATGAACCGCCAGCAGACCTGGAAGAAGAGGGGAGGGGGGAACCCCAACATCATTTCAATGTCCTTGAAGTAGTTCCGGTGACCTGGGAGAGGGAAGAGAGGATCAGACAACATGGCGGCGCTCCATCAGTACAATTTCATCATGGATAAGCATGACGCAGAAAGGACGGATTTAAGAAAACGAGAGATAAGAGAAATATCTTTGCGTCCAATCGTGTTCTGCCGTAAATTCTCTGACCTGCCATGGGGAGATGAAACCTGGAATCTGACTGGCTGACTGAAGAATGGCACCATTTTGTACATTAAGGCCCCATGTACACGGGACACTTCTGAACGATGGAAACTGACTGCTGGAAAACGCAGGTTAGACGTTTGCATACCGCATTGATGTGCGTTTGAGTTTAAAGATAACCCCAGGAGAACCTCCCAAATGCCCAGAATGCACTGAAAAGTGGTCAAATATTAACTATTTCAGACTGTTTCAGAGAAATACAGAGAGTAGAAGCAGAGACAGCAGTATGTGTGGAGATTAGCTTAGGTGTGAGTTGCTCATTAACATTTCTTTTGTTTCCAAGGGTGGGGAAGGTGTCTGGTGGAGTCAGTAAGGCCACCTGGCAGGGGGTCTTCATGAGGAATTTGAGGTGTGAATTGTCATTAACATATCTTTTGTCTCCAAGGGTGGGAGAGGTCTGAGGTGTGAATTGGTTATTAACATATCTTTTGTTTCCAAGGGTGGGAGAGGTCTGAGGTGTGAATTGGTTATTAACATATCTTTTGTTTCCAAGGGTGGGAGAGGTCTGAGGTGTGAATTGGTTATTAACATATCTTTTGTTTCCAAGGGTGGGAGAGGTCTGAGGTCTGAATGGTCACTAACATATCTTTTGTTTCCAAGGGCGGGAGAGGTCTGAGGTGTGAATTGGTCATTAACATATCTTTTGTTTCCAAGGGTGGGAGAGGTCTGAGGTGTGAATTGGTCATTAACATATCTTTTGTTTCCAAGGGCGGGAGAGGTCTGAGGTGTGAATTGGTCATTAACATATCTTTTGTTTCCAAGGGTGGGAGAGGTCTGAGGTGTGAATTGGTTATTAACATATCTTTTGTTTCCAAGGTTGGGAGAGGTCTGAGGTGTGAATGGTCAAAAAACATATCTTTTGTTTCCAAGGGCGGGAGAGGTCTGAGGTGTGAATTGGTCATTAACATATCTCTTGTTTCCAAGGGTGGGAGAGGTCTGAGGTCTGAATGGTCACTAACATATCTTTTGTTTCCAAGGGTGGGAGAGGTCTGAGGTGTGAATGGTCATTAACATATCTTTTGTTTCCAAGGGTGGGGGAGGTCTGAGGTGTGAATTAGTCATTAACATATCTTTTTGTTTCCAAGGGTGGGAGAGGTCTGAGGTGTGAATGGTCATTAAGATATCTTTTGTTTCCAAGGGTGTGAGAGGTCTGAGGTGTGAATTGGTCATTAACATATCTTTTGTTTCCAAGGATGGGAGAGGTCTGAGGTGTGAATTGGTCATTTACATCTCTTTTGTTTCCAAGGGTGGGAGAGGTCTGAGGTGTGAATGGTCATTAAGATATCTTTTGTTTCCAAGGGTGGGGGAGGTCTGAGGTGTGAATTGGTCATTACAATGTGTGACAAGCTCCGTAGGAACATCCTGTGTTCAGTGTTTTGTCCATTTGAGTACCTTGAAAACACTTTGCATGCATTTTTCATGATGAAAAGGCTCTGGACAGCATCAGGAACTGGAAGAGCTTAAAAAAAATTTCAGACGCAAACGCTTATAAACATGATTTGTCGTGTTTACAAGTGTTCTGCGTTTGAAATGCTGATAAAATCGACTGCTGAATGCAAGTTTTCTGCGTTCAAAAAAACGAATGTAAACCCAACTGCCTGTAAAGGACGATGTGTAGACGGACACAGAGGAGGACATTAGGGGGAGTTCAGGGGCTGCTGAAAAAAACGCAGAAAAGCTCCTGAACGTGAGTTCATCACCTGCAGTGTACATGGGGCCCTAACACCTGAAGGCGCCATTTTTGCTTCAGTTTTTCCTGGTTTCTGCAGCTAAGGTCTGCCTGTGGAAATTGGACAGAATTCCCCCATTGTACGTTGTTGGACATACATGTAACAATGTATACTGTGCTATCTCCGCGGGAATGTACATCACATGAACGGCAATGAAGAGCCGACTCCAGTAATATGGAGACCCCCAAAATCCATGGAAGACACGGCTGGAATTGGGCGGTTGGACGCGCATGCAAGCTTTGCTGTTACCCGTCTATGACAGTCCGACGTCCAATCGGTATGAGGTATCCAGGGGCCACTCACCGTAAATGTACATTATAGCCACACACATGATACAGGAAATGATGACCAGAGAAAAGCTGGCCGCGTAATTATCCATCAGAAGAAGCCAATAGATTCCGGCCTATAGGAGAGAAGGACACAGAATACAGCCAATCACCAGAGAGATAATATCTGAGCCAGAACTCTCTGCGCTCCACCATTGGGGTCCTCCAAGATGGACGCCCAGCACTGAAATGGAATGCCTGGGGCCCTCATTTGTTACACAGGATCCTCCCTGAAAATGCTGCATCCACCCTTCTGTCATAGACAGTCCTGAACAGTCCATACAGGAGCCCATGTTACACCCAACACAACTGATCCACCTGCACCCCAATACCAGGACTGATGGCAACCTGCACCCCAGTACAAAGACTATTGGCAACCTGCACCCCAATACCAGCACTAGTGGCAACCTGCACCCCAATACAAGGACTAAGGGCCACCTGCACCCCAATACCAGGACTGATGGCAACCTGCACCCCAGTACCAAGACTAATGGCCACCTGCACCCTATACCAGGACTAAGGGCTACCTGCACCCCAATACCAGGACTGATGGCCACCTGCACCCCAGTACCAAGACTATTGGCAACCTGCACCCCAATACCAGGACTAAGGGCCACCTGCACCCCAATACTAGGACTAACGGTGACCTGTACCCTCTTGCCAGGACTAATGGCAACCTGCACCCCAATACCAGGGCTAATGACAACCTGCATCCCAATACCAGGACTAAAGGCAACCTGCTCCCCAATACCAGGGCTAATGGCAACCTGCATCCCAATACCAGGACTAATGGCAACCTGCACCCCAATACCAGGGCTAATGGCAACCTGCATCCCAATACCAGGACTAACGTCCACATGCACCCCCTTACCAGGACTGAGAGCCAATAGCACCCAACTAGAGGGACTGATGTATACCTGTACCTCACTCTCAAGACCCATGGCCACCTACACCCCACTGCAGGAACGATGGCCACCTGTACCCCACTACTTGGACTGATGGTTACTTGCACCCCACTCTAGGGACTGATGTATACCTGCACCTCACTCATGGCCACCTACACCCCACAGCAGGACTCATTGCCACCTGTACCCCACTCCTGGGACTATGACCTGCACCCCATCGCAGGAATGATGGCCACCTGTACCCCACTCCTGGAGCTGACAACCACCTGCACCCCACTAAAGGAATAATGGCAGGCTGTACATACTACTCGGACTGATGGCCACCTGCACCCCACTACATGGACTGATGTATACATGCACCTCACTCCCAGGGCTGAGGGCCACCTGTACCCCACTCCTGGGACTGGCAACCACCTGCACCCACTACAGGGACTGATGTATACACGCACCCTGCTCCCAGGGCTGAAGGCCACTTGTACCCCACTACAGAAATGATAGCTCACTGTACCGCACCCCACTATAGGTACTGAAGACCACCTGCACTGCATGACTGGGACTTATGGCTACCTGCACCTTAATCCGCAGACTGATAGCCACATGCACCACACTTCCCAGACCAACGGCTATCCACCCCCCCCCCCCCCCCCACCCCTCAGGCTGACAGCCACCTATACCCCACTTCCAGGGCTGATGGCCACTTGCACCCCACTACAGGAATGATGGCTAACCGTACCCCAATACTCAAACTTATATATACTGTATTTAACCACTTCCATTCCGGACACTTTCCCCCCCTTCCATTCCGGACACCACTTTCCCCCCCTTCCAGTCCGGACACTTTCCCCCCCTTCCATTCCGGACACTTTCCCCCCCTTCCATTCCGGACACTTTCCCCCCCTTCCAGTCCGGACACTTTCCCCCCCTTCCAGTCCGGACACTTTCCCCCCCCTCCAGTCCGGACACTTTCCCCCCCTTTCAGTCCGGACACTTTCCCCCCCTTCCAGTCCGGACACTTTCACCCCCTTCCAGTCCGGACACTTTCACCCCCTTCCAGTCCGGACACTTTCACCCCCTTCCAGTCCGGACACTTTCCCCCCCTTCCAGTCCGGACACTTTCCCCCCCTTCCAGTCCGGACACTTTCACCCCCTTCCAGTCCGGACACTTTCACCCCCTTCCAGTCCGGACACTTTCACCCCCTTCCAGTCCGGACACTTTCCCCCCCTTCCAGTCCGGACACTTTCCCCCCCTTCCAGTCCGGACACTTTCCCCCCCCTCCAGTCCGGACACTTTCCCCCCCTTTCAGTCCGGACACTTTCCCCCCCTTCCAGTCCGGACACTTTCCCCCCCTCCAGTCCGGACACTTTCCCCCCCCTTCCAGTCCGGACACTTTCACCCCCTTCCAGTCCGGACACTTTCACCCCCTTCCAGTCCGGACACTTTCCCCCCCTTCCAGTCCGGACACTTTCCCCCCTTTCCATTCCGGACACTTTCCCCCCCTTCCATTCCGGACACTTTCCCCCCCTTCCAGTCCGGACACTTTCCCCCCCTTTCAGTCCGGACACTTTCCCCCTTCCATTCCGGACACTTTCCCCCCTTCCAGTCCGGACACTTTCCCCTCTTCCAGTCCGGACACTTTCCCCCCCTTCCAGTCCGGACACTTTCCCCCCTTCCAGTCCGGACACTTTCCCCCTTTCAGTCCGGACACTTTCCCCCCCTTCCAGTCCGGACACTTTCCCCCCCCTTCCAGTCCGGACACTTTCACCCCCTTCCAGTCCGGACACTTTCACCCCCTTCCATTCCGGACACTTTCCCCCCCTTCCAGTCCGGACACTTTCCCCCCCTTCCAGTCCGGACACTCCCCCCCCCCCCCACACTTTATCCACTTCCAGTCCGGACACTTTCCCCCCTTCCAGTCCGGACACTTTCACCCCCTTCCAGTCCGGACACTTTCCCCCCCTTCCAGTCCGGACACTTTCCCCCCTTCTAGTCCGGACACTTTCACCCCCTTTCCAGTCCGGACACTTTCCCCCCCTTCCGGTCCGGACACTTTCACCCCCCTTCCAGTCCGGACACTTTCCCCCCTTCCAGTCCGGACACTTTCCCCCCCCAGGCCAATTTTCAGCTTTCAGCGCTATCATACTTTGAATGACAATTGCGCGGTCATGCAACACTGTACCTGTATGAAATTTTGAGCATTTTTTGAGACAGATAAAACTTTATTTTGGTGGTATTTATTCACCGCTGGGATTTTTATTTTTTTGCTATATAAATGAAAAAGTCCAAAAAGTTTGAAAAAAAAGTGTTTTTCTTATAAAATTTTGCAAATAAATTCTATTTCATCATAAATTTTGGCCAACATTTATTCAGTTATCTTTCTAGTAAAAAAAAAAAAAAAAAAAAACTAATTAGTTTATAACCAAAAATTATATTTTTAAAAAAATTTGTTTTACATTTTTATTTGAATTTTTTCATACTATTATTATTATTTTTGTACATACTGTCACCCTAGCAGTGTGGGGTCACCATGGTGACACTGTACTACTTGTGGGGGGTGATGAAGATTTTTTTTTTTACACTGATTGCTTTTACACCCATAAAGGCTGTAAGAGGAATCATTTCTCCTTCTCTCTGGCTGCATTCTTGCAGCCATTGAGAACTACTGTGTGAGCTGTGATTGGTCACAGCTTGTCACATGGTACAAGGCTGTTGTGAATGGCCCTGTACCATGTGATCTCGGTGATCATTCACAGATTTCACACGTAATAAGCAATGATGTCAGAAGTGACATCTTGCTTACTACTCTGCATGTGATCACTGATTGGCCAATCAGCGATCACATGATCGGGACCTCGCACAGAGGTCCCGTAGAACGATCAGTGTTCTACTGTGTCCGGAGGACATGGCAGGCACCGGATCGCGGTGCTGTGTGCTCCCAGGGAGCGCGCACAAGCAGGGGGCGGGGAGGTCATTTATATACATGGGCCGGACGGGAGGTGGTTAATTTCCTTGAGATCTGATCAAATAGAAATAAAACGTCCCCCCCCCACTAATGACATCATGGAAGTGTAACCCCACAGCTGACACCCCAAGCTCCATGGAGGGGGAAAAGGATGGGGTTGGTTACCTGTGTTGTCAGTGGGATTCCCAGCAGAAAACCAATCACCGCCACTCCGAGCGTCACCAACGTCTTCCAGCGAATAATCCAGTCGCTGCCGATCTCATCCACGATGGCCGTGACGAGAGTCTCCAACAGGCAGAACTGCAGCCAATGAAAGCCAGAAGGGGGTTATGATGAGGGGTGACACCAAGTACCGCCGTGACCCCCCAAGGGGAACATCTTTCAAATATTAGAAATGGCGGCCAACTCCAATCATTTAATACTGAGGCTTACCTGCGTGCCCAGCCCCAGCAGGATGAGCATGAAGAAGAACAATATGGACCACAGAGGAGATATTGGCAGCAGGGTCAGAGCCTCAGGATAGGCCACAAAGGCCAGGCCGGGACCATGATCGGCCACTTTGGACACTTCCACACCCAGGTGGTTTGCCATGAAGCCCAGGATGGAGAAGATGACGAAGCCGGCGTAGACGCTGGTGGCGCAGTTGGTGATGCTGATGATGATGCTGTCCCTGAAGGAAGGTGATAAATACATTAATATCAGGCTCCGAGGTGCAGAATTCCAGAATGGGGGGTGTGGGGGTGTACAGCCTCTGTGTGACCCCAAAAATCCTTGGACCAATTACATCAAAGAGTGTCCACAAATGTGCTCAAATGTCCTGCTGACGGATGTGGAGTCGCAGGGGTGACCTCGGTCCATGTGGGCACAGACATTCTAACCTCGGAAGAGTCTACGTGTCACTCACATTGTATGATCATGGGCTACAGATTGATATGTCGGGTGCTGAAAAGATCAGAAGGACAACCCCACGTATTGTACGTCAAAGTATCGTCCTTGTATTAGGAATAGACGTTCGCTGTGTCCAGGGGCGGACTGACAACTCATGGGGCCCCCCAGGCAATAGGAGATCATGGGGCCCCTGTGTCCTTGCCCAAACTCAAAAAAGCCTATGAAAAAGGTACCATGGGCATCTCATGGGGCCCCCTACTGAACCCGGGCCCTCGGGCAGTGATCGAGTTTCCAAATGGTCAGTCCGCCCCTGTCTGTGTCATCAACAATGCAGAAAACGGCAGAAAACCAAGTTTTGTGGTTGAGCCAGAAACCCTTCATTGGTGCAGCTCTAAATCGGTGGCTTCCTGTAATGTTCCCCTTCATGACACAATATACATCCATTCCTGATAGGAGGACGGTGTGCTGGTGACACATACTATTCCATTGTTCCTCCTCCCAAACGTGGTCAGCCAGTAGAAGACTACCCACCACCATAGACGTGGTCTGATGTAGGAGGAAAATGGGGCAGTTTATAGTTACCGCTTTTATTGGCAATTCTCCACCTTCACAGATATGATGTCACTGCGACCACCTCAATTATATACCACAAGGAATCTCGACACCTTCACGATTATAGCATTTCCAAAACTGGCACCACCGACCTACAAATTCTCATCTTGTTATATCTCACCTCAACTATTGTAACTCCCTGAGCATTTGCCTACCAAAACGCAGACTACCCCCCCCCCCCCCCCTCAGTCTATTCAGTCTATGCTTGCTCCCAGACTCATCCACATTGCCAACTGCTCAGTGTCCTCCACCCCTCTCTGCCAATCCCTCCACTGGCCTCCATTCAGTGTCCTCCATCCCTCTCCACCAATCCCTCCACTGGCTTCCATTCAGTGTCCTCCACCCCTCTCTGACAATCTCTCCAATGGCTTCCATTCAGTGTCCTCCATCCCTCTCCACCAATCCCTCCACTGGCTTCCATTCAGTGTCCTCCACCCCTCTCTGCCAATCCCTCCACTGGCCTCCATTCAGTGTCCTCCACCACTCTCTGCCAATCCCTCCACTGGCCTCCATTCAGTGTCCTCCACCACTCTCTGCCAATCCCTCCACTGGCCTCCACTCAGTGTCCTCCATCCCTCTCTACCAATCCCTCCATTGGCCTCCATTCAGTGTCCTCCACCCCTCTCTGCCAATCCCTCCACTGGCCTCCATTCAGTGTCCTCCACTCTCTGCCAATCCCTCCACTGGCCTCCATTCAGTGTCCTCCATCCCTCTCCACCAATCCCTCCACTGGCTTCCATTAAGTGTCCTCCACCCCTCTCTACCAATCACTCCACTGGCTTCCATTCAGTGTCCTCCATCCCTCTCCACCAATCCCTCCACTGGCTTCCATTAAGTGTCCTCCACCCCTCTCTACCAATCACTCCACTGGCTTCCATTCAGTGTCCTCCACTCTCTGCCAATCCCTCAACTGACTTGCCCAAGAAATAAAATTCAAAATAATAGCAACAATATAGTAAGCCATCCACATCTCTTCCCCAAGATACATCACCAACCTCATCACAAATTATCACCCAAACTGTACTCTCTCCACACCTCCTAAGACCTCCTGCTGTCTAGATCTTTTGTTACCATCCCATACTCTCCACCTGTCCTCGCCGGCTCTTCTCCACTTTCATATCTCTGTTCTCCCCCCCCCCCCCCCCCACCTCCACTCAGCACCTCACTCACCGCCCACGAGATTGCCAATCATCATTTCCGAAACAAGATTGACGCAATCCGCAAGGAGATTGTCAATTCACAATATACCTCTCCACCTAGCCTCCCTCCATCACCCCCTCAACTCTCCCCTCCTCTGACCTCGCAACCGCACTGCCCCCCACCCCACCTAACGTCCCACACACTATAACTTCCCCAACACTCCGCTCCTTCAGCCCGGCTACCACTGAGGAGGTCACTAAGGACTTCACAGAAGCCCGCCTCATCACCTGTCCCCTCACAACTCCTCCGGTCACCCTCCTCCTCCATCATTCGCTCCCTCACCCACATCTTCAATCTCTCCCTCTCTACTGGCGCATTCCCCTCCCCCCTAAAGCACGCCCACATCACCCCCATACTCAAAAAACCCTCCCTGGACCCCACTGACCTGAACAATCTTAGACCCATCTCCCTGCTGCCACTCACTTCCAAGCTCCTTGAGTGCTTGGTCTACAATCGCCTAAGCACCCACCTCAACGACAACAACCTCCTTGACCCACTACAGTCCGGCTTCCGTCCCCTACACTCCACCGAAACCGCCCTACTTAAAATCACTAATGACCTGCTAACCACCAAAGCTAATGGCCACTACTCTGTCCTCCTACTCCTTGACCTCTCCGTGGCCTTCAACACTGTTGACCACCCCCTCCTCCTTACTAAACTACACTCCCTCGGCCTCAGAGACTCCGCTCTCTCCTGGTTCTCCTCTTACCTATCTCAACACTCCTTCAGTGTCACCTATAATCCTACCACCTCCCCCTCTCTCCCCCTCTCTGTTGGGGTCCCCCAAGGCTCTGTCCTCGGACCCCTTCCATTCTCCATCTACACCTCCTCCCTTGGCAAACTGATATACACCCACGGCTTCAACTATCACCTCTATGCCGACGACACACAAATTTACCTCTCCACCCCTCGCCTCACCCCTTCAGTCTCTGCCCGTATCACCCACCTCCTAAACGACATATCAGACTGGATGTCGCTCCATTTCCTCAAGTTAAATCTTTCCAAAACCGAGCTCCTAGTTTCCCTCCCAGCCCGCACCCCCTCATCCTCTCCATCACGACTGACAACGCCACCATCAATCCCACCCCGCTAGCCAAAGTCCTAGGTGTCACTCTAGACTCAAACCTTTCCTTCCAACCTCATGTCCAATCACTATCAAAACTCATGCAGGCTCCACCTCCGCAACATCTCCAAGATACGTACGTTCTTCACCCCAGACACCACCAAACAACTCGTACACTCCCTGATTATCTCACGCCTGGACTACTGCAACTCCCTCCTCACTGGCCTCCCTCATCACAGGCTATCCCCGCTTCAGTCTATCCTGAACTCAGCGGCCAGACTCATCCACCTCACCAACCGCTCCGCTTCTGCCACCCCCCCTCTGCCAATCCCTCCACTGGCTCCCGATTGCCCAACGCATTAAATTCAAATTACTAACACTGACCTACAAAGCCATTCATAACGCTGCCCCAAACTACCTCACCGACCTGATACCCAAATACCACCCTACCCGTAACTTCGCTCCTCACAAGACCTCCTACTTTCTAGCTCCCTGGTCTCCTCCTCCCACGCCCGACTGCAGGACTTCTCCAGGACTTCCCCCATCCTCTGGAACTCTCTAGCTAAATCCATCAGACTGTCGCCTACCCTCCTCACCTTTAGGCACACCCTGAAAACCCATCTCTTCAGGGAAGCGTACCCCACCCTCACCTAACAGCTGTTCTCCTCCACTCCTCCTACCACTCCATCCCCAACAGCCACTTCCTCCTGTACCACTACCCCCTCCCTCCTAGATTGTAAGCTCCAAGGATCAGGGCCCTCGAACCCCTCGTGTATTGTATTGTTACTGTCTTGTCTCGTGTTCTGTCCCCACTATAATGCACAGCGCTGAGCAAACCTTTTGTCGCAATATAAATACTGTATAATAATAATAATACTCACCTCCAGGACGTCTCCCATCATTTGGAACTCCCTACCCCAAACTGCACAGCTGTCTCCTACTCCATCCACCTTTAGGGGATTCCTGACATCTCATGTCTCCAGGAAAGCCTATCACCTCCAGCTAACCAATATATTTTATTTTCTTGAAAACCTCAACCCTGTATAGTTGTTACCTTTTGTATCATTGTCCCCTCTCTTTTAGATAGTAAGCTCTCAGGACCAGGGCTCTCCGGACCCTCATGTATTGACTTGTCTTATAACTGTACTGTCTGCCTCAAGCTGCAAAAAGCTGCATAAAATGTTAGCGCTTCATAAATCCTATATAAAGGTATTAGAAATAATAATATAACCCGTATATCCAGGACTGGAGGAGGGGCCCCAGTGTTATGGGCCAAGTCTAGGCTGACTCCAGGCAGCGACCCGCTTACCCAGTAGAGTATTTACATTTTGTGTTGCCCTAGGCAACACAAACAGTTTGCACCCCCCCCCACCCCCACCATGAGAGAGCGAGAGGGTTCAAGAAGTTTGTGTATGTATATTGCTCTCTCCCCCCCTCTCTCTCTTTCTCTCCCTCTCCTTTCGCTCCTTCTCCCCCCTCTCTCTCCCCTCTCACCCTCCCCTCCCTTTCCCTCCCCCCCCCTCTCTCTCCCCCATCTCGCCCCCTCTCCTTCTCTCTCTTTCTCTCTCCCCTCTCACCCCCCCTCTCTCCTTCTCTCTCTTTCTCCCCCCCCTCTCTCCTTCTCTTCCTCCCTCTCCTTTCTCTCCCTCTCGCTCTCCCCTCCCCCCCCTCTCTCTCTTCTCTCTATCTTCCCTCTCTCTCCATCTCTGCCCCCTCTCCCCCTCTCTCTCTCTATTCCCCCCTCTCTCTCCCCTCCCCCTCTCCCCCCCTCTCCAATTCTCTCTCTTTCTCTCTCTCTCTCTTCCCTCTCAATCCCCCCTCTCTCTGTTGCTCTATTCCCCCATCTCTATCTTCCCTCTCTCTTCTCTCTCCTTCTCTCTCTTCCCCCCCTTCTCCCTCCCCCCTCTCTTTCTCTCTCTCTCCCCCTCTCTCTTTCTCTTCCCCCCTCTCCTCTCTCTCTCCCTTTCGCTCTCCCTCTCTCTCTCCTCTCTATCTTCCCTCTCTCTCTCTCCATCTCTGCCCTATCTCCCTCTCTCTCCCTATATCTATCTCCCCAGCTCTCTCTCTTCCCTCCACCCTCCCTATCTCCCCCTCCCTCCTTCCCCCTCCCTCTCTCCCCCCTCTGCCATTCTCTCTCTCTCTCTTCCTTCTTGATCCCCCCTCTCTCTGTTGCTCTATTCCCCCATCTCTATCTTCCCCCCCTCTCTTCTCTCCCCCCTCTCTCCCCCCCCTCTCTCCTTCTCTCTCTTTTCTTCCCTCTCGCTCCCCCCCCCTCTCCCCCCCCCCCCCCCCCTCCCTCCCTCCCTCTTTCTCTCTCTCTCCCCTTTCTTTCTCTTCCCTCTCTCTTCCCCCTTTTTCCTCAGATTGTATGGGACCCCCCCCCCACTTCTCAAAGGGCTGCTGATCACGGGGGCAGCAGGAAGGGGGGGGGGGGGGAGGTATGTGCAGTCCCATATGATCTGTCAGTGATCAGTGTCAGTGTAATCTGCTGGATGGAAGACAGGAGGGAGAGCCCACAGAAGACATCACAGCTCACCTCCTCCGGGCTCTTTCCTCTCTGCCGCTTCTCTCCCTGCTCCAGGCATTTCCCTGGTCCTGGCTCGTCAGCTGCTGGAGGGAGAGGTACACGACCTTCACACTGCAACTACCCTCCCCCACGCCCCACCAAATCAATCTTCCTGCTGTCCATTGCTGCTCAAAAGGTCCCTTCTTCTGAGGGGGGGGGGGTTGGAGGACAGCGCCGCCCCCCTAAAAATTGTCACCCTAGGCAAACGCCTTGTTTGCCTCGCGGTAGATACGCCTCTGCACTTACCTGTAACAGTTGTTATGAAACTTGTTGTAGGAAGCCATTGTGATAAGTCCGCCCCACGCACACCCCAGAGAGTAGAATATCTGAGAGGCAGCATCGCCCCAAACCTGCAGGAGGAAACAAAGAAACTCCTGTAAATCCTCATTATTGGTGGAAATAATGGACACGGACAGATCAATGGCAATGACTATTTACTTGGTTTATTGTCAGCAATCATCTGGGAAAAAAATGCAAACGCCTTGAATCGTCCAGAAGACAACTATGATATGTTGGCCTCCAATGCCACTCACATTGGGGGGGGGGTTTACTAAAGGCAAATAGACTGAGCACTTTGCAAAATGCAGTTGCTCCAGAGCTTAGTAAATGAGGTGAAGCTTCACTTTGCAAAGAATACCCAATCACATGCAAGGAAAATAGTTTGTTCAGCATGTTTGCTTGCATGTGATTGGATGATGGAAGTCAGGAGAGCTTCTGCTCATTTACTAAGATCTGGAGCAACTGCACTTGCAGAGTACATAGTCTATTTGCCTTTAGTAATCAACCCAGAGCCTTAATTGGGCCGCCTGCCTTCCCACACACATGACCTTTAATTATTATTATTATTATTATTACATGGAGTTTATATAGCGCCAAAGGGTTTGCTCAGCGCTGTACAATAGGGGGGACAATACATGGCACAGTACAACAACAACAAACAACGTACGAGGGGTAAGGGGGCCCTACTCTTTCCAGCTTACAATCTAGGAGGGAGGGGGTAAAGGTACAGTAGGAAGTGGCTGAGGGGAATGAGGGGTGGGAGGAAAGAGGGAGAATGGCCGTTAGGTGAGGGTGGGGTAGGCTTCCCTGAAGAGGTGGGTTTTGAGGGAACGCCTGAAAGTGAAGAGGGAAGGCGACAGTCTGATGGATTGGGGCAGTGAGTTCCAGAGGATGGGGGAGGACCTGGAGAAGTCTTGCAGTCGTGCATGGGAGGAGGAGACCAGGGAGCAGGATAGAAGGAGGTCCTGTGAGGAGCGAAGGGTACGGGTAGGGCGGTACTTGGGGATCAGGTTGGAGAGGTAGTCAGGGGCGGCGTTGTGAATGGCTTTGTAGGTCAGGGTTAGAAGTTTAAATTTGATGCGTTGGGCAATCGGAGCCAGTGGAGGGAGAGGCAGAGGGGGGTGGCAGAGGTGGAGCGGGGGTGGTGAGGTGGATGAGTCTGGCCGCTGAGTTCAGGATGGTCTGGAGCGGGGAGAGCCTGCACTGGGGTAGGCCGGTGAGAAGAGAATTACAGTAGTCAAGGCGTGAGATGATGAGGGAGTGTACTAGAAGTTTGGTGGTGTCTGGGGTGAGGAAGGAGCGTATCTTGGCAATGCTGCGGAGATGGAGCCTGCATGTGTTTGCAAGTGATTGACATGCGGTTGGAAGGAGAGGTTCGAGTCAGGAATGACGCCGAGGACTTTGGCTTGCGGGGCGGGAATGATAGTGGAGTTGTTGGTGATGATGGATAGGATGGGGGGGGGTGCGGGGAGGGGGAAAGACGAGGAGCTCGGTTTTGGAGCGGTTGAGTTTGAGGAAATGGAGTGACATCCAGTCTGAGATGTCATTTAGGAGGTGAGTGATGCGGGCGGAGACTGAGGGGGTGAGGAGAGGGGTGGAGAGGTAGATTTGGGTGTCGTCAGCGTAGAGGTGGTAATTGAAGCCGTGGGAGTGTATGAGTTTGCCCAGGGAGGAGGTGTAGATGGAGAAGAGAAGGGGTCCAAGGACAGAGCCTTGGGGGACCCCAACAGAGAGGGGGAGGGAGGGGGAGGTGGCACCATTGTAGGTGACACTGAAGGAGCATCGGGATAGGTAGGATGAGAACCAAGAGAGAGCGGTGTCTCTGATGCCAAGGGAGAGTAGTTTATTAAGGAGGAGGGGGTGGTCAACTGTGTCGAAGGCCGCAGAGAGGTCCAGGAGAAGGACAGAGTAGTCGCCTTTGGCTTTGGCGTTTAGTAGGTCGTTAGTGATTTTGAGGAGGGCAGTTTTAGTGGAGTGTAGGGGACGGAAGCCGGACTGTAATGGGTCAAGGAGGTTATTGTCAATAAGGTGGGAGCTTAGGCGATCGTAGACTAAGCGTTCAAGGAGCTTGGAGGTGAGTGGCAGCAGGGAGATGGGTCTGAGGTTGTTGGGGTCCATGGGATCCAGGCAGGGCTTTTTGAGGATGGGGGTGATATGCGCATGCTTTAGGGGGGAGGGGAATGCGCCAGTAGAGAGGGAGAGATTGAAGATGTGGGTGAGGGAGCGGATGAGGGAGGCGGGGGGTGACCGGAGGAGTTGAGAGGGGATAGGGTCCAGGGGGCAGGTAGTGAGGCGGGCTTCTGAGAGGACTTTGGTGACTTCCTCAGTAGTGACAGGGCTGAGGGAGTGCAGTGCAGGGGGGGTTATGGTGGGCGGGGCCTTGGGAGAGGTGGGGGGCAGTGCGGTTGTGAGGGCAGAGGAGGGGGGAGATGAAGGGGTGACGGGGGTGGGGAGGCTAGGTGGGGAGGTAGATTGCAAGTTGACGATGTCCTTACGGATAGCGTCAATCTTGTTACGGAAATGGGTGGCAATCTCGTGGGCGGTGAGAGAGGTACTGAGTGGAGGAGGGGGGGGAGAGAGCAGGGAGTTGAAGGTGGAGAAGAGTCGGCGGGGGCAGGAGGAGAGGGTGTTGATCAGGTTAACAAAGTAGGCTTGCTTGGTGCGTGGAGGGAGGAGGTGTAGGTGAGAAATGCAGATTTGTAGAGGGAGAATGTATGAGGGGACCTGGTTTTGTGCCACAGTCTCTCCAGTGCGCGACTGCGACGTTTGAGAAGTTTAGTGCTGTCGGTCTGCCAGGGTTGAAGCGGTCTGGGTTGGGTTTGATGATGCGTGGCCCCCCAGTCTTAGTCCGTAGGGTCCAATGATGAGTTGGCCTTCCAGCTGTTGAAGTCCCATCATGCCTCTGCTTCTTGGAGTCTTGCCTGTGGCTGTCAGAGTCTTGCAAGGCCTCATGGGACTTGCAGTTCCTCAAAACCTGGAGGACCATAGTTTGGAGACCCCTGACCCCAAGTATTGGACGCCGGCCTTTCCACACACATGACCTTTAATGGCCTCCCAGTCTCAGTCCGTAGGGTTCAATATTGAGTTGGCCCCGCCCTTCCCACACACATGACCTTTAATGGCCCCCCAGTCTTAGTCCGTAGGGTTCAATATTGAGTCGGCCCCACCCTTCCCACACACATGACCTTTAATGGCCCCCCAGTCTTAGTCCGTAGGGTTCAATATTGAGTTGGCCCCGCCCTTTGCAGCTATAACAGCTTCAACTCTTCTGGGAAGGCCATCCACAAGGTTTAGGAGGGTGTCTATGGGAAGGTTGGACCATTCTTCCAGAAGCACATTTGTCAGGTCAGGCACTGATGTCGGGGGAGGGGGCCTGGCTCGCAGTCTCCGCTCTAATTCATCCAAAGGTGTTCTATGGGGTTGAGGTCAGGACTCTGTGCAGGACAGTCAAGTTCCTCCACCCCAAACTGGCTCCTCCATGTCTTTATGGACCTTGCTTTGTGCACTGGTGGGCAGTCATGTTGGAACAGGAAGGGGCCATCCCCAAACTCCTCCCACAAAGTTGGGAGCATGAAATTGTCCAAAATGTCGTCCCTTCACTGGAACTAGGGGGCCAAGCCCAATCCCTGAAAAACAACCCCACACCATAATCCCTCCTCCAACAAACTTTACACTTGGCACAAAGCAGTCAGGCAAGTACCGTTCTCCTGGCCACCGCCAAACCCAGACACGTCCATCGGATTGCCAGACAGAGAAGTATGATTGGTCACTCCAGAGAACACACCTCCACTGTTCTAGAGTCCAGTGGCGGCGTGCTTTACACCAAGCTCTCTACGCACTGTTGTTGGGCTCATCTGAAGGCCACACCAAGTTTGGAGGTCTTTAGCTATTGACTCTGCAGACAGTTGGCGACTTCTGCGCACTGTGCGCTTCAGCATGCGCTGACCCCGCCCTGTCATGTGACGTGGCCTACCACTTGGTGGCTGAGTGGCTGTTGTTCCCAGTGGCTTCCACTTTGGTATAATCCCACTAACAGTTGAGCGTGGAATATTTAGTAGCCAGGAAATGTCACGGATGGACTTATTGCCCAGGTGGCCACCTATCACGGGACCACGCTTGGAGTCACTGAGCTCCTGAGAGCGACCCATTCTTTCACCAATGTTTGTAGAAGCAGTCTGCATGCCTAGGGGCTTGATTGTATACACCTGTGTCCATGGAGGGGATTGGGGCACCTGAATCACATGATATGGAGGGGATTGGAACACCTGAATCACATGATTGGGAGGGGATTGGAACACCTGAATCACATGATTGGGAGGGGATTGGAACACCTGAATCACATGATATGGAGGGGATTGGGACACCTGAATCACATGATATGGAGGGGATTGGAACACCTGAATCACATGATATGGAGGGGATTGGGACACCTGAATCACATGATATGGAGGGGATTGGGACACCTGAATCACATGAACTGGAGGGGATTGGAACACCTGAATCACATGATATGGAGGGGATTGGAACACCTGAATCACATGATTGGGAGGGGATTGGAACACCTGAATCACATGATATGGAGGGGATTGGAACACACCTGAATCACATGATTGGGAGGGGATTGGAACACCTGAATCACATGTTATGGAGGGGATTGGAACACCTGAATCACATGATATGGAGGGGATTGGAACACCTGAATCACGTGATTTGGAGGGTGGGGCCAATACTTTGGGCAATATAGTGTATTTTAACTATTTGTAACAATTAGTTTAGGGTGCGCAGGATCACATATATATATGTGATTTTGCATTTCCGGGTAGGGGGCACGGGAGCCGCGCACGCTATGCCCTACCTGCGCTGTCATTCACGGCTGCGGATGTCAATCACCGGGTCCTGGTGATTACCCGCCGGCGCCCAGTGATTACTAAGCATCTCCAACGGGGAGGAAGACTGTTTTGTTTACTAACAGTCCTCCTCCCTGTCAGCTCAGGCACACTGCACAGTACAGCCATCCTGAGCAGTGTGAGTACAGTGGAGCACACCCCCCCACCCTCTAGTAAAACACTCCCAGCACACAGTTAACCCTTTGATCACCCCTCACATTAACCCCTTCCTGCCCATTGCCATTAGTACAGTGTCACCAAGTCAGTCCCCCCCCCCCCCCCCCCCCCGTGTCAGAATGCCTGCCGCAGTCCCACTATAAGTCGCTGATCGCCGCCATTACTAGTAGAAATAAAAATCCCGCCATTTGTGAACGCTATAACTTTCACGTAAAGCAATTAATTTACACGTATCGGGATTTTTGTTTAGCAAAGACGACGAGCAGAATACATTTTGGCCGAAATTTATGATGAAATTTTATCTTTTTTTAATTTTTTACTGGACGTGTATAATAGCAAAAAGTGCAAAACATTGTTTTTTTCTGAATATTGTCAGTCTTTTTGTGCTTATAGCGCACAGGTGATCAAATCCCACCGAAAGAAAGCTCAATTCATGGGAAAAAAAGGGCATACATTTCATTTGGGTGCAACGCTGCACGACTGCGCAAGTGTCAGTTAAAATATCACAGTGCCGTAATGCAAAAATATGTGTGGCCCTTTAGAGATGCCAGGGGCCACACATGACTCCCTCTACCCCTTGGAAGTTGAGGGCCAATGGTGTAGTATGATAACGCAGGACAATATCGCCACCTAGCGGCCAAATCATTATCAGCCCTTTGGTGCATGCTGAGCTCCCCTCTGCAGACCCCAGCAGTCACTAGTGGCCGCAATGATGGAGATCTCTAGCAGTCATCTCCTCTAGTAGGGGTGGGCAGGAGGGGAGGCTGCCCTGGGCACAGCAGAGCAGGGTGGGGGGGGACAGAGAATGAATGTAGGGTGGTACACCCATTCTACAATGCGCATTAGTAGTGGGTGAAGGGGGGCCACATGCAGACTTTTGGTGCTTGCTGAGCTCCCCTCTGCAGACCCCAGCAGTCACTAGTGGCCGCACTGATGGAGATCTTTAGCAGTCTCATGTCACACGTCTCCGCTATCTCCTGCACTGTGTCCTCCACCACCCCTGTTGCAGGTCTGTAGCCTCGGGTCGACTCCTCCAGTAGGTCCGAAGTCTCTGACAGTCTTTTGTTACATATTGAATATTATGTAGGGCCCTGCAGAGATGCCAGGGGCCACAGATGAGACCCCCTACACCTTGCAAATTGTAGTATGATTACACAAGACAATATCGCCATCTAGCGGCCAAATCAGTATCAGCCCTTTGGTGATTGCTGAGCTCCCCTCTGCAGACCCCGTCAGTCACTAGTGGCCGCAATGATGGAGATCTCTAGCAGTCTCATGTCACACATCTCCGCTATCTCCTGCACTGTGTCCTCCACCACCCCTATTACAGGTCTGCAGTCTCAGGTCATCTCCTCTAGTAGGGGTGGGCAGGAGGGGAGGCTGCCCTGGGCACAGCAGAGCGGGGGGGGGGGGGAAGAGAATGAATGTAGGGTGGTACACCCATTCTACAATGCGCATTAGTAGTGGGTGAAGGGGGGGGCCACATGCAGACTTTTGGTGCTTGCTGAGCTCCCCTCTGCAGACCCCAGCAGTCACTAGTGACCGCACTGATGGAGATCTCTAGCAGTCTCATGTCACACGTCCCGCTATCTCCTGCACTGTGTCCACCAGCCCGGTTACAGGTCTGCAGTCTCAGGTCGTCTCCTCTGGTCAGTCCGAAGTCTCTGACAGTCTTTTGTTACATATTGAATATTATGTAGGGCCCTGTAGAGGTGCCAGGGGCCACAGATGAGACCCCCTACACCTTGCAAGATGCTTATGCACAAAACATTCAGATCATCCATGGTGGGGACTCGCTCTCACTGTGCGGGATGTCCGGATCTCACTGCTGGCCGGACTTTTGTGTCGTATTCAATATTATTATTATTGCTACAGGTCCTTATGTGGCGCCATCAATGTGCGCAGCGCTTTACGTATATATTGTACATTCGCTGTGCCTATGAAATGCAAATGGCAGGAAGGGGCCCATCAGGGTGTGGGAAAAGAATTTAAATTCAGTAAATAATAGGGATGTGCCAAAGAAAGTCATTATTATCATTTTCTGGAATTATTTAATTTTTTTAAAGGTACTTATATAGCGCCATCAATGTACTCTGCACTTTACATATATATTGTACATTCACATCAGTCCCCGCCCCCGAGGAACATACAGTCTACGGTCTCTAACTCACATTCATACATACACACACTAGGGACACTTTTTTAGACAGGAGTCAATTAACCTCCCAGCATGTCTTTGGAGTGTGGGAGGAAACCGGAGTACCCGGAGGAAACCCACGCAGGCACAGGGAGAACATGCAAACTCCAGGCAGGTGGTGCCATGGTTGGGATTTGAATATCTGAAGTCTCACATGCATATACTGATTTAGCCACTAGATGGCGATATCGTCCTGTGTTATCATACTACACCTTGCAAGGTGTAGGGGGTCTCATTTGTGGCCCCTGACATCTCTACAGGGCCCTACATAATATTCAATATGCAACAAAAGACTGTCAGAGACTTCGGACTGACCAGAGGAGACGTCCTGAGACTGCAGACCTGCAACAGGGGTGGTGGAGGACACAGTGCAGGAGATAGCGGGGACGTGTGACATGAGACTGCTAGAGATCTCCATCAGTGCGGCCACTAGTGACTGCTGGGGTCTGCAGAGGGGAGCTCAATATGATGTATTGATCTGGCTGCTGAGGATCTATTGTTGCTGGGGGGATATATTTTTGCAGGGTGTCTATTGTGCTGGGGAGGTCTATTGATGCCGGTGGGGGGTCTATTGTTGCTGGGGTAGGTCTTAGCTTGCTGGGGGGGGTCAATTGTTGATATGATGGATCAACTGTTGAGAGAGGGGTCTAACAATGAATGTTGAGGGGATGTATTGTTGCTGAGGGGATCTATTGTTACTAGGAGGATCTATTGTTGCTGGGGTGGATCTTATGTGGCTGGGAGGGTCAATTGTTGATAGGATAGATCTATTGTAGAGAGAGGGGTATAATATTGATGAATGCTGGGGGTCTATTGTTGCTGGGGTGGGTCATAGCTTGCTGGGGGGGGGTCAATTGTTGATAAGATGGATCTACTGTTGAGAGAGTGGTCTAATAATGATGAATGCTGAGGGGATCTATTGTTGCTGAGGGGATCTATTGTTGCTGGGGTGGGTCATTTGTTGATAGGATAGATCTACTGTGGAGAGAGGGGTCTAATATTGCTGAATGCTGGTGGTTTATTGTTGCTGAGGGGGATCTATTGTTGCTGGGGTGTCAATTGTTGATAGATGGATCTACTTTTGAAAGAGGTGTGTAATATTGCTGACTGCTAGGGGGATCTATTGTTGCTGGGAGGAATATTTTTCCTTGTGGGATCTATTGTTGCCTGGTGGATCTATTGTTGCCAGTGGGTCTATTGTTGCTGGAGGGGGGTCTATTGTTGCTGGACGGGGTCTATTGTTGCTGTCTGCAGGTGATGTATTTGACTGCTCTTGTTATCATTAACAAATTCCTTACATATTTAGTTCTGTATTCTCTAAAAGGGTGGTACCAGAGGGGGGAGGAACCAAGGAACGGTGCTTGGGGGTGGGTAAGGGGCGGAGACAAGGGAGTGTTCCTGCACCTATTGTCTGAGTCACATTGTGGATTACCTTGGCATCCAGGATCTTGTCCCACTGCGGTGTCAGATAATACATGATCCCAGACACGGCTCCCTCCAGGGTAATGCCTCGAACAAAGAGGATGGTGAGGACCACGTAGGGGAAGGTGGCTGTGAAATAGACCACCTGAGGGGGGCAGAGAGACCAGAGAGGAGGGTTATGGGATGAAACGGCTTCAAATGAAGAAGAACAATTCATAAATCATTGCATTATATACAAAGTATCTTTATTGTTGGAAGAAAAAACGTTTTGTGGAGTTTACTAAGTTGTTGCAAATGCCATAAGGAGGCAACTGGCCACCAGACGCAGCCTGTGCTAAAGTGGTGATGGGATGGTCTGGTGACTCTGGGGGGGGGGGGGACACATACAGCGCAGGTCCTCGCAGGAGGAAAGTGGGTGACAGGGCAGCGGGCGGTTGGTGTCGGGTGTAATGACAGGCTGGCAGATGTCTACGTCATCAGCATTTATTCTGCATTAGAGTGCAGATGCCTGAGGGCAGGAAATGGTTAATGGCTGGGGACGTAGATACAACCAGGGACTCCTGACCTCTGAACTCTGCATTATATACTCCTGACCTCTGAACTCTGCTTTGCATACTCCTGACCTCTGAACTCTGCATTACATACTCCTGACCTCTGAACTCTGCATTACATACTCCTGACCTCTGCTTTACATACTCCTGGCTTATGCTTTACATACTCCTGACCTCTGAACTCTGCTTTACATACTTCTGACCTCTGACCTCTGCTTTACATACTCCTGACCTCTGAACTCTGCATTATATACTCCTGACCTCTGAACTCTGCATTACATACTCCTGACCTCTGCTTTACATACTCCTGACCTCTGCTTTACATACTCCTGACCTCTGCTTTACATACTCCTGACCTCTGAACTCTGCTTTACATACTCTGGACCTCTGCTTTACATACTCCTGACTTCATACTCCTGACTTTTGAACTTTGCTTTACATACTCCTGATCTCTGAACTCTGCATTACATACTCCTGACCTCTGAACTATGCTTTGGACACTCCTAACCTCTGCTTTACATACTACTGAACTCTGCTTTACATAATACTGACTCCTGCACTCCACATTGCTACTGACCTCTGCACCCTGTGTTACCTACTCCTGATGATTGAACTCTGTGTTACATACTTCTGACCCCTGCACTCTGCATTAATTACTCTCTACCTCTGCACTGTTTTACATACTACTGAACACTAAACTCTGTGTAACTTACTCCTGACCTCTGCATTACATACTCCTGACCTCTGCATTACATACTAATGACCTCTGCAGTCTGAATGACATAATACTCACCCCTGCACTCCGCATTACCACTGACCTCTGCACCCTGTGTTCCTTACTCCTGACCACTGAACACTGCATTATATACTTCTGCCCCTGCACTGTGCATTACTTACTAATGACCTCTGCACTGAGCATTAATTACTACTGACCCCTTCACTCTGCATTACTTACTCCCTACCTTTGTGCTGTGTTTTACATACTACTGACCCCTGAACTCTATGTTACTTAATCCTGACCTCTGCATTATATAGTACTGGCCTTTGAACTTTGTGTTACACTCCTTGTCCTCTGCACTTTGCGTTACTAACTACTGACCCCTGCACTGTATGTTACATACTTCTGACCTGTGCACTATGCATTGCTCCTGGCCCCTGCACTTTAAGTTACTTATTTCTGCAACTGAACTCTGCATTATAAACTACTGACCTCTGCACTTTGCCTTACATTCCCCTGACCTCTGCACTTGTCAATACCTACATCCGAACTTCATGTTATTTACTCCTGACCTCTGCACTATGCATTGCTCCTGGCCCCTGCACCTTCCAATTCCTACATCTAAACTTTGTGGTATTTGCTCCTGACCTATGAACTCTGCGTTACTTACTTCTGACCCCTGACCTCTGCATTACATACCAAATGACCTTTGCACTCTGTGTTGCTTACTCCTGACCACTGAACACTGCGTTATATACTTCTGCCCCTGCACTGTGTTTGACATAATACTGACCCCTGAACTCTGTGTTACTCCTGACTTCTGCATTACATACTACTGGCCTTTGCACTTTGCATTACTTACTACTGACCCCTGTACTGTATGTTACATACTTCTGACCTCTGCACTATGCATTGCTCCTGGCCCCTGCACTCTACGTTACTTATTTCAGACCCTGAACTTTGCATTACAAAGTACTTACCTCTGCACTCTGCATTCCATTCCCCTGACCTCTGCACTTGACAATACCTACATCCGAACTTCAGGTTATTTACTCCTGACCTCTGACCTCTGAATTACTTACTTCTGACCTCTGCACCCTGCATCACTTACTACTGATCCCTGCACTCTGCAATACCTGTTTCTGAACTATTTACTCCTGTCCTCTGAATTCTGTGTTACTCCTGACCCCTGCACTCTCGTCAATTTTTATTGGGGTCTTTCTAGGTTATCTTCCCCTTAAAAAAGCATCCTGCACCCCGGTGACCTTGGATCTCTTCCATATTGTTCTGGTGGATCTTCCCCTCCCCAGGGTTGCCTACCCCCGCTATTAGGAAACAGTTGTCAGTGATGGACGGGGTGGTCTCACCTTCCCGGAGGATTTCACCCCTCGGATGAGGCACAGGAACACCACGAAACCACGACAGGCCAAGACACCCCAGGATGGGCAGCCGCACCTCCCCAAAATTCCCGATGTCGTCCGACAACTGCAGCACATAATTCCTGGAAGACAATGACACGGTGTGACACATGTGACTTTGTACGCCGCGCCTGCACAGGGCAGCACCACCATTTCTGTCATATTATAACTGAAGTGAAAATTATACTTTGTAACACACACTATATTGCCCCAAGCTGGCCTTTCCACATACATGACCTTTAATGGCCCCCCAGTCTTAGTCCGTAGGGTTCAATATTGAGTTGGCCCCGCCCTTCCCACACACATGACCTTTAATGGCCCCCCCCCCAGTCTTAGTCCGTAGGGATCAATATTGAGTTGGCCCCGCCCTTCCCACACACATGACCTTTAATGGCCCCCCCCCCCAGTCTTAGTCCGTAGGGTTCAATATTGAGTTGGCCCCGCCCTTCCCACACACATGACCTTTAATGGCCCCCAGTCTTAGTCCGTAGGGTTCAATATTGAGTTGGCCCCGCCCTTCCCACACACATTACCTTTAACGGCCCCCCAGTCTTAGTCCGTAGGGTTCAATATTGAGTTGGCCCCGCCCTTCCCACACACATGACCTTTAATGCCCCCCCCCCAGTCTTAGTCCGTAGGGTTCAATATTGAGTTGGCCCCGCCCTTCCCACACACATGACCTTTAATGGCGCCCCAGTCTTAGTCCGTAGGGTTCAATATTGAGTTGGCCCCGCCCTTCCCACACACATTACCTTTAATGGCCCCCCAGTCTTAGTCCGTAGGGTTCAATATTGAGTTGGCCCCGCCCCTTTGCAGCTATAACAGCTTCAACTCTTCTGGGAAGGCCGTCCACAAGGTTTAGGAGGGTGTCTATGGGAAGGTTGGACCATTCTTCCAGAAGCACATTTGTCAGGTCAGGCACTGATGTCGGGGGAGGGGCACTGATGTCGGGGGAGGAGGTCTGGCTCGCAGTCTCCGCTCTAATTCATCCCAAAGGTGTTCTATGGGGTTGAGGTCAGGACTCTGTGCAGGACAGTCAAGTTCCTCCACCCCAAACTGGCTCCTCCATGTCTTTATGGACCTTGCTTTGTGCACTGGTGGGTAGTCATGTTGGAACAGGAAGGGGCCATCCCCAAACTCCTCCCACAAAGTTGGGAGCATGAAATTGTCCAAAATGTCGCCTTAAGAGTTCCCTTCACTGGAACTAGGGGGCCAAGCCCAACCCCTGAAATACAACCCCACACCATAATCCCCCCTCCACCAAACTTTACACTTGGCACAATGCAATCAGGCAAGTACCGTTCTCCTGGCCACCGCCAAACCCAGACACGTCCATCAGCTTGCCAGACAGAGAAGCGTGATTGGTCACTCCAGAGAACACGCTTCCACTGCTCTAGAGTCCAGTGGCGGTGTGCTTTACACCACGGCATCCGACGCTTTGCATTGCACTTGGTGATGGAAGGCTTGGATGCAGCTGCTCGGCCATGGAAACCCATTCCATGAAGCTCTCTACGCACTGTTGTTGGGCTCATCTGAAGGCCACACCAAGTTTGGAGGTCTTTAGCTATTGACTCTGCAGAGAGTTGGCGACTTCTGCGCACTGTGCGCTTCAGCATGCGCTGACCCCGCCCTGTCATGTGACGTGGCCTACCACTTGGTGGCTGAGGGGCTGTTGTTCCCAGTGGCTTCCACTTTGTTATAATCCCACTAACAGTTGAGCGTGGAATATTTAGTAGCCAGGAAATGTCACGGATGGACTTATTGCCCAGGTGGCCACCTATCACGGGACCACGCTTGGAGTCACTGAGCTCCTGAGAGCGACCCATTCTTTCACCAATGTTTGTAGAAGCCGTCTGCATGCCTAGGGGTGTGATTGTATACACCTGTGTCCATGGAGGGGATTGGAACACCTGAATCACATGATATGGAGGCGATTGGAACACCTGAATCACATGATATGGAGGGGATTGGAGCACCTGAATCACATGATTGGGAGGGGATTGGAACGCCTGAATCACATGTTTGGGAGGGGATTGGAACACCTGAATCACATGATATGGAGGGGATTGGAACACCTGAATCACATGATAGGGAGGGGATTGGAACACCTGAATCACATGTTTGGGAGGGGATTGGAACACCTGAATCACATGATATGGAGGGGATTGGAATGCCTGAATCACATGATTGGGAGGGGATTGGAACGCCTGAATCACATGATATGGAGGGAATTGGAACACCTGAATCACATGATTGGGAGGGGATTGGAACACCTGAGTCACATGATTGGGAGGGGATTGGAACACCTGAATCACATGATATGGAGGGGATTGGAACACCTGAATCACATGATATGGAGGGGATTGGAACACCTGAATCACATGATATGGAGGAGATTGGAACACCTGAATCACATGATATGGAGGGGATTGGAACACCTGAATCACATGATATGGAGGGGATTGGAACATCTGAATCACATGATATGGAGGGGATTGGAACACCTGAATCACATGATATGGAGGAGATTGGAACACCTGAATCACATGATATGGAGGGGATTGGAACACCTGAATCACATAATATGGAGGGGATTGGAACACTTGAATCACATGATTTGGAGGGCGGGGCCAATACTTGGGGCAATATAGTGTATTTTATCCATTTGTCACATTTATTTTCCTCTGATAACGGGCAGAGCCGTAATCCCGCTGTTGTCTCTGGAAGGAAGCTGGAGAAGTGACTCCCCTCCAGGCGGAGGATTTCAATGAAAACTTTTCGTTGGCATTTTTCTCTTTTGTTTTAGAATTTTTTTTTTACACTTCACGTCAACATTACAACTTTACGCGTCGTACCTGGAGAAGAAGGTACACAATGAGCGGTGAGGGATTTAGCTCTCTGTGGCCCCTGCCGTGTTCTGTTGGACTTAAGCAGGCCATAGACGGGTCAAACATCGGCAGATTTAAAAAAAATAAATGAAAAATCGATCGTTCGATCGGCCGACATTACCACTAACATTAAAAAAAATTGGCCGATTTTCGACCCTTCTATGGCCGGCATTAACCCCATAACTTCTGTCACTTGCAGAGACGGGAGCGCACCGTACAATGTGACAGCAATACAAATACATTATTTGGATTACAATGTTTTTATTTGGATACATTTGTTGCAACTGCAAGACTTTCATATAAAATAATAGCGGACTGGACTTCCAGTTTGTAGGAAGGATTCAGGGGTCTCCCATTCCTGTCATCCATTCACTTAGCAGAATAAAATTTCCTCTTCTAGATGTGATTTTCTTTTTCTTTTTTTCTTCTTCCTTTTGTTTTCTTCTTTTCTTCTTCTTTTACAATTTAATTTTGGACTTTCATAAACTATATATATATATATACGTCTCTGTGCATTTACAGTAAAAAGACTGTCGGCATCCTTGCAGGTCACGGCTCATGCGCAGATTTTTTTATCGGTAAAACGATCGGCCGATTTGCCCATCTTTGCCAGGAAAATTGGCCGATCGTCATAATCGGCCGCAAATTTTCCAACATGACTGATTAAAAAACTGCAAAAAACCCGAAAAAAAAACGGCCGACCAATTAACCCACTAACAGTGCGAAAATCAGCCGATTTTCGACCCGTCTATGGCCGGCAATACACTCTGTACATTAGTACAACGCCGCTCTTGGTGTCACAGCCCGCTCTTGGTGTCACAGCCCGCTCTTGGTGTCACAGCCCGCTCTTGGTGTCACCGCCGACCGCTCGGAGTCACAATGGCAGCTCATTAGGCTGGAGGCACACACGGTCATATGCCGCATACCAGAGACAATGCCAGGCGTTGGCCAGTCAATGAGGCATTTCCTGTGCGCTTCCATGGCTGCCAGTCTGGTGCTGCGTGGCACTGGCTCCCCCCCCCCCCCACAGATACAACTGCAGGGCCATCTCTACCCATCACAGAGTGCCAGCTACCTCTAAGACGACGCCACGGCATAGGTCATCCCCACACACGTGCCCCAGATGGTTCTTGGCCTCCGCTGTTTATTCCTCGAGGGAAATTCTTGTCTGTTTTTTTTTGTGATTTCAGCGCTGAAAGTGTCTTATCGCCGCCATCTCCAGCGCTTTGTTCTGCGCGGGTGACTGCTGGGGGGACAGCGAGCGTCAGGCGCCAGTCCTTAGAACAATAGCACAATGCCCATTCAGCTCCCGTATGGAAATCAGCACCTTATACTGTGAAGGCAAATCGCGGCGTACAATGCAAGGAAACCGAGTGCCAGCCCAGCTCTGTGTCATGGACATTCCACACCGGGGGCCAGGCTCTGTGAACAGTGCTACGGGGGACTGCCGTATACCATCTACTGACTGGATACACGCTATAGGAGCTGGGGGGGGGGCGTAACTGCAAAGGGGGGACCCCCATTGCAGACTTTTCATGTGACCCTCAGACAGAGGCGGCCCTAGGCTTGGTGTCACTCGGTGCGATGACTCTGAACAGTGCTACGGGGGACTGCTGTATACCATCTACTGCCTGGATACGCGCTATAGGGCCTGGGGGGGGGGGGGCGTAACAGCAACCCAGGGGACCCCCATTGCAGACTTTTCATGTGACCCTCAGACAGAGGCGGCCCTAGGCTTGGTGTCACTCGGTGCGATGACTCTGAACAGTGCTACGGGGGACTGCCGTATACCATCTACTGCCTGGATACGTGCTATAGGACTTGGGGGGGGGGGGGGGCGTAACAGCAACTCAGGGGACCTCCATTGCAAGCTTTTCATGTGACCCTCAGACAGAGGCGGCCCTAGGCTTGGTGTCACTCGGTGCGATGACTCTGAACAGTGCTATGGGGGACTGCCGTATACCATCTACTGCCTGGATACGCGCTATAGGGCCTGGGGGGGGGGGCGTAACAGCAACTCAGGGGACCCCCATTGCAAGCTTTTCATGTGACCCTCAGACAGAGGCGTCCCTAGGGTTGGTGTCACCCGGTCCGATGACTCTGAACAGTGCTACGGGGGACTGCCGTATACCATCTACTGCCTGGATATGCACTAGAGGGCCTGGGGAGGGTGTAACCACAAATAAGGGGGGGGGGGGCCACCATTGCAAACTTTTCATGTGACCCTCAGACAGAGGCGTCCCTAGGGTTGGTGTCACCCGGTCCGATGACTCTGAACAGTGCTACGGGGGACTACCGTATACCATCTACTGCCTGGATACGTGCTCGCTATAGGGCTTGGGGGGCGTAACTGCAAATCAGGGGACCCCCATTGCAAACTTTTCATGTGACCCTCAGACAGAGGCGTCCCTAGGGTTGGTGTCACCCGATGCGGTAACACTTGGTGACACCCCCTCCAACAATCCCTGCAGAATGGATTGGATCTGCGGATTGAGCATAATGGATCGGACATCCTGCGGGGATCGTCGGCATGCAACCTATACGGGGTGACACCGGAATCGCTCCACGAAAAGGTAAGTTGTAAAGAAAGCCGACGATCCCCACAGGATGGATGCGGTGGTGTCACCCGGTGCAGCGCACACACCCCGCACTTGCCTCAGGACACCACTGCCCTCAGAAACCTCTTTCCGTGGTACTTGGCAATGTGAATAGAATAAACGATCGTAACGAAAAACATCGAGGGCGAGGTAGGCAGAGAACTGTCGCCGTAGTAGGGACATTATTAGGGACCAGTGCTGTGCTCCCCTAAACACTGAACTATAAATGTCCTGTCAGCAAGGGGTTAATGCAAGGTCATGCCTGCAACCATGCTTGGTATAATTTTTCTCAGCCAGCGATTGGCTGTTTTGTAAAAGCGATCCAGGTGGCTTTAAAGCCACCTAATCACTTTTCAAGCATTGTGAGCCGCCCCCGCACACTCCGTCCACAGTGGTTTCTGGGCTCTCCCACTCCCCCAGGGTGCCCAGGACCACGGTGATTGGCTGAGACGGGCTTACAAAGAGTTGATGGAGGAACATCCATTCCCTGATCTCCTTTGTGACCAATGAACTTGGTAGTGATGATAACTTTGTAACTTCTGGATTCGGAGCTGTCAATCCCTGGCTTGTTACAGCACAATCTGTGCTTGATTAGCTGCTTTGGAGGGCAGGGGAGACATTGGGGGGTCTAATAGACCTCTGATGTCTCCATAAAGAGGACCTGTCACCTGCAAAAAGCTATCACAAGGAGGCTTGTTAGACTCCTTGTTGTAGCAATAAAGTTACGTAAAAAAAATTCAATCACCCCCCATACTCCCGCACATACTTGCAAAATGCAAACATGCATGTAGGTCCAGCATACGTATGTAAATAGCGATTGCACCACACATGTGAGATATCACAGCCAATGTCATAGACTTGAAGACTTACTAGAGGATATGGTCATTGACTGTTGTATAGTTCCTTCCTCCCAAGACCTCCGGCTCTCTAGCTCCCTTTTCACATCCTCCCATATTCGCCTCCAGGACTTCTTCCGAGCCTCTCCCATCCCCCAGAACTCCTTACCCCAATCTGTCCGACTATTTCCTACTCTGTCCACTTTTAAATAATCCCTTAAAAACCTTCTCTTCAGAGAGGCCTACCTTGCCCCCAACTAAGAGCTGTACTTTTATTTTCTCCATAAGCCCATCCCCCGCGGTTATTACCTTTTGCATCTCTTGATCCACCCCTCTTAGATTATAAGCGCTAATGAGCCACGCCCTCTGATCCCTCCTGTATTGAATTGCATTGTAACTGTACTGTCTGCCCTCATGTTGTAAAGTGCTGAGTAAACTGTTGGCGCTATTTCAATCCTGTATAACAATGGTCTCCAAACTGAGGCCTGAGGGCCAGATGCGGCCCTTTGCTAGCCTTTATCCAGCCCTTCGGGCACTATTCCCCTCCGCCAATAGTGGAGCATAATTTCTGCCACTGACACTAATGATGGGGCACTATTCCTCCAACCAGTATCAATGATGAGGCACTATTCCTCCAACCAGTATCAATGATGGGGCACTATTCCTCCAACCAGTATCAATGATGGGGCACTATTCCTCCAACCAGTATCAATGATGGGGCACTATTCCTCCAACCAGTATCAATGATGGGGCACCATTCCTCCAACCAGTATCAATGATGGGACACTATTCCTCCAACCAGTATCAATGATGGGGCACTATTCCTCCAACCAGTATCAATGATGGGGCACTATTCCTCCAACCAATATCAATGATGGGGCACCATTCCTCCAACCAGTATCAATGATGGGGCACCATTCCTCCAACCAGTATCAATGATGGGGCACCATTCCTCCAACCAGTGTCAATGATGGGACACTATTCCTCCAACCAGTATCAATGATGAGGCACTATTCCTCCAACCAGTATCAATGATGGGGCACTATTCCTCCAACCAGTATCAATGATGGGGCACTATTCCTCCAACCAGTATCAATGATGGGGCACTATTCCTCCAACCAGTATCAATGATGGGGCACTATTCCTCCAACCAGTATCAATGATGGGGCACTATTCCTCCAATCAATATCAATGATGGGGCACTATTCCTCCAACCAGTATCAATGATGGGGCACTATTCCTCCAACCAGTATCAATGATGGGGCACTATTCCTCCAACCAGTATCAATGATGGGGCACTATTCCTCCAACCAGTATCAATGATGAGGCACTATTCCTCCAACCAGTATCAATGATGAGGCACTATTCCTCCAACCAGTATCAATAATGGGGCACTATTCCTCCAACCAATATCAATGATGGGGCACTATTCCTCCAACCAGTATCAATGATGGGGCACTATTCCTCAATCAATATCAATGATGGGGCACCATTCCTCCAACCAGTATCAATGATGGGGCACTATTCCTCCAACAAGTATCAATGATGGGGCACTATTCCTCCAACAAGTATCAATGATGGGGCACTATTCCTCCAACAAGTATCAATGATGGGACATTATTCCTCCAACCAATATCAATGATGGGGCACTATTCCTCCAAACAAGTATCAATGATGGGACATTATTCCTCCAACCAGTATCAATGATGGGGCACTATTCCTCCAACAAGTATCAATGATGGGACATTATTCCTCCAACCAGTATCAGTGATGGGACATTATTCCTCCAACCAGTATCAATGATGGGGCACTATTCCTCCAACCAGTATCAATGATGGGGCACCATTCCTCCAACCAGTATCAATGATGGGGCACCATTCCTCCAACCAGTATCAATGATGAGGCACCATTCCTCCAACCAGTATCAATGATGAGGCATATTCCTCCAACCAGTATCAATGATGGGGCACCATTCCTCCAACCAGTATCAATGATGGGGCACTATTCCTCCAATCAATATCAATGATGGGGCACCATTCCTCCAACCAGTATCAATGATGGGGCACTATTCCTCCAACAAGTATCAATGATGGGACATTATTCCTCCAACCAGTATCAGTGATAAGGGACACTATTCCTCCAACCAGTATCAATGATGGGGCACTATTCCTCCAACCAGTATCAATGATGAGGCACTATTCCTCCAACCAGTATCAATGATGAGGCACTATTCCTCCAACCAGTATCAATGATTGGGCACTATTCCTCCAACCAGTATCAATGATGGGGCACCATTCCTCCAACCAGTATCAATGATGAGGCACATTCCTCCAACCAGTATCAATGATGGGGCACTATTCCTCCAACCAGTATCAATGATGAGGCACTATTCCTCCAACCAGTATCAATGATGGGACATTATTCCTCCAAACCAATATCAATGATGAGGCACTATTCCTCCAACCAGTGTCAATGATTGGGCACTATTCCTCCAACCAGTGTCAATGATTGGGCACCATTCCTCCAACCAATATCAATGATTGGGCACTATTCCTCCAACCAGTGTCAATGATTGGGCACTATTCCTCCAACCAGTGTCAATGATGAGGCACTATTCCTCCAACCAGTATCAATGATGGGGCACCATTCCTCCAACCAATATCAATGATTGGGCACTATTCCTCCAACCAGTGTCAATGATTGGGCACTATTCCTCCAACCAGTGTCAATGATTGGGCACTATTCCTTCAACCAGTGTCAATGATTGGGCACTATTCCTCCAACCAGTGTCAATGATTGGGCACTATTCCTCCAACCAGTATCAATGATGGGGCACCATTCCTCCAACCAATATCAATGATTGGGCACTATTCCTTCAACCAGTGTCAATGATTGGGCACTATTCCTCCAACCAGTGTCAATGATTGGGCACTATTCCTCCAACCAGTATCAATGATTGGGCACTATTCCTCCAACCAGTATCAATGATGGGGCACCATTCCTCCAACCAATATCAATGATGGGGCACTATTCCTCCAACCGGTATCAATGATGAGGCACCATTCCTCCAACCAGTATCAATGATGGGACACTATTCCTCCAACCAGTGTCAATGATTGGGCACTATTCCTCCAACAGTATCAATGATGGGGCACCATTCCTCCAACCAATATCAATGATGGGGCACTATTCCTCCAACCAGTATCAATGATGAGGCACCATTCCTCCAACCAGTATCAATGATGGGGCACTATTCCTCCAACCAATATCAATGATGGGGCACTATTCCTCCAACCAGTGTTAATGATGGGACATTATTCCTCCAACCAACAACAATGATGGGGCACTATTCCTCCAACCAGTATCAATGATGGGGCACTATTCCTCCAACCAATATCAATGATGGGGCACTATTCCTCCAACCTGTATCAATGATGGGGCACTATTCCTCCAACCAGTATCAATGATGAGGCACCATTCCTCCAACCAGTATCAATGATGGGGCACTATTCCACCAACCAATATCAATGATGGGGCACTATTCCTCCAACCAGTGTTAATGATGGGGCACTATTCCTCCAACCAGTATCAATGATGGGACATTATTCCTCTAACCAATATCAATGATGGGGCACCATTCCTCCAACCAATATCAATGATGGGGCACTATTCTTCCAACCTGTATCAATGATGGGGCACTATTCCTCCAACCAATATCAACGATGGGGCATTCCTCCTCCTCCTACTGACCACCATCCCTGATGCCATGTTTTTTTTCATTGATGCTGGGCCTGGGACATTTTCTACCCCCACTGGCCCTTTGTTTGAAAAGTTTGGAGACCCCTGCTGTAAAATAATAAAAATATAGTTGGAGACTGAAGTCATGCTGTAGGAGATAGTCAGCATTTTTTAGGCCTCTTTTCAAATTAATTCCCCCCCACTACTGACTGCTGGGGCCTGAGAGCCACACTTCAAACACCAATGGATCACATGTGACCCTTGGGCCACAGACTGGACAAAAGGGTCAAAGATGATTGTTATATTTTATCGTCATTCCAAAGACCACCTCTGGAGGGTGCAGAGTCTCCCTCTTCTTGGAAATCCCTTTAATCTACCAGTCAGATAATTTGAGCTGATCTAGAAGAAGAAACCAGAACCAGAGAAGGTCCCATCACCCACCTCCAGTACTCCTCGCTGGGACTCGTCCTCTTCACAGTCTGGTTCAGGATGGTGGACAGGTCTTGATGGGAGGTGTAGTTGGAGGAATTTGTGGAGGGGCTCAGCACCCCGACGCAGTTCTCTGTGTTCCATTTATTAGTGCAGTACGTCCACGGCAGAATTCGGTTCATGGACATGAAAAAGTAGTAGAACGCAATGCAAATAACCACGTTGTAATAAATACCGATATAGGTGGAGACGACCATCATTCCATAACCTACACCTGAAAGGAAACGAAGGGTTAATGATCAATTGGTGAAACCAGACACTCCGCAGGAATACAAAGGCCAAACGCTAATTGAAAATATGAATATTGGGGAATTCATTGAAGTTTGTCAAGCCGAGTGGTGTTGGGTCATCCAGAGCTTGAGATTCGAGGTGTTTGCAGCCATCTTAAGAATAAGTCCTGTCATCCTGTGTGATCTGATGCTAGAATTAACCAGATAAAAGATACAGTCATGCGAAAAAGTAAGTACACCCCAAGGAAATCCTGACATTTTCCACATGTTTGAAAAGGCCAATGTTAGATCTTCGTTTGAAAATGGTCTACAGATAAAATGAATTATTTGAAGAAATACCACCCCTACATTCACCAGCACTTCAATTCTATGGAATCAGAATCTGGTTTTCCAGATTAGGTGCCAATGACTACAACCTCCTGGTGGAACCGGTCTTAGACATCTACAGTTTGGTCCAGTCTGTATGTGGTGTCATCATGCCAAAATCAATAGAGCTCTCTAAATCCCTCAGAAAGAAGGTTCTAGATGGAGGATTTAAAAAGATTCCAAAGTGATTTGAAATCAATCATTCCACTGTAGGGAAAATCATCTCCAAGTGGCGAAGAGTTCAAACAACTGACAACTTGTCTAGGACTGACCTTCCCAGCAAATTCAACCCAAGAGCTGACCATTTGATGCTTAAGAAGCCCTAAATTAAATTGTGGGGTGTTCAGTTAACTTTTCCAACCGTTGATTGTTGATCTGCAATCATAAAGAGATCGCACCAATTTAATCTGCATGACAGGTGGTGTGTTAAGAAAAAGTCTTTTCAGTCCACAATGAATATTAGAGCAAGATTTCAGTTTGCAATTGGACATATAGGTAAAGACAAGACCATCTGGAACAATGTACTGAAGACTGATCCATCAAAGACTGGGCCTTCTGGAATCATGTACTGAAGATGGATGCATCAAGGACCAGGCCTTGTGGAACCATGTACTGAAGACTGATCCATCAAAGATAGAGTGGTTTGGTCACAGTAACAGTGAATATGTTTGGTGAAAACTGAAGATAGTAATCCAGAAGAAGAACCTCAAACCAACTGTGAAGCACGGTGGTGGAGATTTTATAAATCTATCTATCAGTTTTCTATCTCTTTGCACTAATATGATATAGATTGGTTGCTGGGCACTTCCTTCTCTGTGACATCACACATGTACAATATGAAAAGGATATACTTTTTATTGCTGCATTTCATTTGTATTTTTTCTTTTTGCTACAGAACGGAACCATGTGTGTGCGTGTGTGTGTGTGTGTATGGGGGGGTTCTTTTTTTTTTTTTGATCTGTCTCAGAATTAGTAGTCGGTAGGTCTTGAAAGTCGATATTTTTTTATAGCCGATCTCTAATGACAGGTCCTCTTACCTTTAAACATGGGGCTGATCCTCCAAACCCCGAGGCACCCCTGACTGGCGAACTGTCCGAATGAGAGCTCCATAAAGAAGAGTGGGATGCCGCAGAAGACCAGCATGATGAAGTACGGGAACATGAAGGCTCCTGAGGAGACAGAGATGAATTACGAAAGACAGGAAGGCAGCTGGAGGGATTCTTTCCAGTGAGAGCAGTAGAAAAATGATTTCAGGGGAGTCTGATTAACAAGGATCTCTCCATTTCACTTACCGCCTCCATTTCTATAGCAGAGATATGGGAATCTCCAGACGTTTCCCAGACCGACTGCGTACCCCACGCTGGTTAGGACGAACTCTATCTGGTTTCCCCAGTTTCCTCTCTTCAGGTTTTCGTCTCTCTTCGTGACTTCTCCAGGCACAGCACCATTCTGGAAACACAAGACGCGGCATGTCAGCTTTATTCTGTGTTATGCAGCTGCTGCGGCGTGAGCGACGTGTTTCATGGGTCGCATAACCCTTCGTCAGGACTGAATGTAAGGACACATCGGCCGGGCTCTACGGGTACGTTTTGCTTTTATTGGCTGGCAAAGAGGCCGGTACTGCTTGAGTTGCAGCACACGTCACTGTCAGCAAGTAACTCGTAGAATGTTCTCTCCTGTGCCGAAATTCATTACCCTCAATTCCCTGCAAACTTGCCTCTCTACAGTATAACCCCATTGGAAGCTGCTGCACCTATCTTGAGGTATGGGGGGTTGAGGGGGCTGGGGAAGGGGTGTGGGGGGTTGGGGAGGGGTATGGGGGGTTGGGGAAGGGGTTTGGGGGGTTTGGGGAAGGCGGCTCTGGATTGTTATGTCCAGTGACAACTCTATGGAGTTTGTACATATCAGTTTCCCGCAGTCAGGCCGTGTCCACGTGGCAGTGACATGTCTGTCCATCTCTGGGACCACCTACTGCAATGTATGGGGGGTCTCATTTACATTACAATCATCCATTGACTGTGCAGGAATGTGGTGACCCCCAGAGTCATGGTGATGAATCTGCCAGCTGGGTGTCCATATAGAGGACATTAGAGCTGCCAGGGGTTGTCAGGGACTTGTCCTGTAAGGGAAGAAGTCCAGGCGGGAGCCCCCCATAGGGGAGGAACAGGGCTGCTTTGTCTGAAGTCACCCCCTGACACAGGCAACGAACCCCAGTACCCTCCATGCTGCAGGGGACCCGTATAGACCAACATTTCCATAAATCCCAGAGAAGAAGACGTAGTCACCGGGGAACAGGTCCACAGATGAATGTGGCCCATCATATGGTGCAACCCAATCACCGGGACGGGATATGCAAACCCACCACATTGCTGCAACAGACAACGATCCTCTGACCACTGACTCCACACACTCAGCCCTCAGCATTGGAGGGAACCTAGATGTGGACTTATGGTGTATCATTACCGCGAATCTAGAACCTCCACTGGAAGGGCTACACCAGCAGCATGGAGGGTGCTGGGGTTCGTTGCCTGTGTCAGGGGGTGACTTCAGACAAAGCAGCCCTGTTCCTTCCCTATGGGGGGCTCCCGCCCGGACCTCTTCCCTTACAGGACAAGTCCCTGACAACCCCTGGCAGCTCTAATGTCCTCTATATGGACACCCAGCAGGCAGATTCATCACCATGACTCTGGGGGTCACCACATTCCTGCACAGTCAATGGATGTTTGTAATGTAAATGAGACCCCCCATACATTGCAGTAGGTGGTCCCAGAGATGGACAGACATGTCACTGCCACGTGGACACGGCCTGACTGCGCAAACTGATATGTACAAACTCCATGGAGCTGTCACCGGACATAAACAATCCAGAGAGCTGCCTTCCCCAAACCCCCCACACCCCTCCCCAACCCCCCACACCCCCCTTCCCCAGTCAGTGGAAGAATGTCCCTTACATTGGGGGTCAGTGGGAAGAATGTCCCTCACATTGGGGGTCAGTGGGAAGAATGTCCCTTACATTGGAGGTCAGTGGGAAGAATATCCCTTACATTGGGGGGTCAGTGGGAAGAATGTCCCTTACATTGGGGGCCGGTGGGAAGAATGCTCCTTACATTGGGGGTCAGTGGGAAGAATGTCCCTTACATTGGGGGTCAGTGGGAAGAATCCCTTACATTGGTGATCAGTGGGAAGAATGTCCCTTACATTGGGGGTCAGTGGGAAGAATGTCTCTTACATTGGGGGTCAGTGGGAAGAATGTCCCTTACATTGGGGGTCAGTGGGAAGAATTTCCCTTACATTGGGGGTCAGTGGGAAGAATGTCCTTACATTGGGGGTCAGTGGGAAGAATGTCCCTTACATTGGGGGTCAGTGGGAAGAATGTCCCTTACATTGGGGGTCAGTGGGAAGAATGTCCCTTACATTGGGGGTCAGTGGGAAGAATGTCCCTTACATTGGGGGTCAGTGGGAAGAATGTCCCTTACATTGGGGGTCAGTGGGAAGAATGTCCCTTACATTGGGGGGTCAGTGGAAGAATGTCCCTTACATTGGGGGTCAGTGGGAAGAATGTCCCTTACATTGGGGGTCAGTGGGAAGAATGTCCCTTACATTGGGGGTCAGTGGGAAGAATGTCCCTTACATTGGGGGGTCAGTGGGAAGAATGTCCCTTACATTGGGGGTCAGTGGGAAGAATGTCCCTTACATTGGGGGTCAGTGGGAAGAATGTCCCTTACATTGGGGGTCAGTGGGAAGAATGTCCCTTACATTGGGGGGGGTCAGTGGGAATGTCCCATACATTGGGGGTCAGTAGGAAGAATGTCCCTTACATGGGGGGTCAGTGGGAAGAATGTCCCTTACATTGGGGGTCAGTGGGAAGAATGTCCCGTACATTGGGGGTCAGTGGGAAGAATGTCCCTTACATTGGGGGGTCAGTGGGAAAGAATGTCCCTTACATTGGGGGTCAGTGGGAAGAATGTCCCTTACATTGGGGGTCAGTGGGAAGAATGTCCCTTACATTGGGGGTCAGTGGGAAGAATGTCCCTTACATTGGGGGTCAGTGGGAAGAATGTCCCTTACATTGGGGATCAGTGGGAAGAATGTCCCTTACATTGGGGGTCAGTGGGAAGAATGTCCCTTACATTGGGGGTCAGTGGGAAGAATGTCCCTTACATTGGGGGTCAGTGGGAAGAATGTCCCTTACATTGGGGGTCAGTGGGAAGAATGTCCCTTACATTGGGGGTCAGTGGGAAGAATGTCCCTTACATTGGGGGTCAGTGGGAAGAATGTCCCTTACATTGGGGGTCAGTGGGAAGAATGTCCCTTACATTGGGGTCAGTGGGAAGAATGTCCCTTACATTGGGGGTCAGTGGGAAGAATGTCCCTTACATTGGGGGTCAGTGGGAAGAATGTCCCTTACATTGGGGGTCAGTGGGAAGAATGTCCCTTACATTGGGGGTCAGTGGGAAGAATGTCCCTTACATTGGGGGTCAGTGGGAAGAATGTCCCTTACATTGGGGGTCAGTGGGAAGAATGTCCCTTACATTGGGGGTCAGTGGGAAGAATGTCCCTTACATTGGGGGTCAGTGGGAAGAATGTCCCTTACATTGGGGGTCAGTGGGAAGAATGTCCCTTACATTGGGGGTCAGTGGGAAGAATGTCCCTTACATTGGGGGTCAGTGGGAAGAATGTCCCTTACATTGGGGGTCAGTGGGAAGAATGTCCCTTACATTGGGGGTCAGTGGGAAGAATGTCCCTTACATTGGGGGTCAGTGGGAAAGAATGTCCCTTACATTGGGGGTCAGTGGGAAGAATGTCCCTTACATTGGGGGTCAGTGGGAAGAATGTCCCTTACATTGGGGGGGAAGAATGTCAGTGGGGAAGAATGTCCCTTACATTGGGGGTCAGTGGGAAGAATGTCCCTTACATTGGGGGTCAGTGGGAAGAATGTCCCTTACATTGGGGGTCAGTGGGAAGAATGTCCCTTACATTGGGGGTCATGGGAAGAATGTCCCTTACATTGGGGGTCAGTGGGAAGAATGTCCCTTACATTGGGGGTCAGTGGGAAGAATGTCCCTTACATTGGGGTCAGTGGGAAGAATGTCCCTTACATTGGGGGTCAGTGGGAAGAATGTCCCTTACATTGGGGGGAAGAATCAGTGGGGGTCAAGAAGAATGTCCCCTTACATTGGGGGTCAGTGGGAAGAATGTCCCTTACATTGGGGGTCAGTGGGAAGAATGTCCCTTACATTACATTGGGGGTCAGTGGGAAGAATGTCCCTTACATTGGGGGTCAGTGGGAAGAATGTCCCTTACATTGGGGGTCAGTGGGAAGAATGTCCCTTACATTGGGGGTCAGTGGGAAGAATGTCCCTTACATTGGGGGTCAGTGGGAAGAATGTCCCTTACATTGGGGGTCAGTGGGAAGAATGTCCCTTACATTGGGGGTCAGTGGGAAGAATGTCCCTTACATTGGGGGTCAGTGGGAAGAATGTCCCCCTTACATTGGGGGTCAGTGGGAAGAATGTCCCTTACATTGGGGTCAGTGGGAAGAATGTCCCTTACATTGGTGGTCAGTGGGAAGAATGTCCCTTACATTGGGCCAGTGGGAAGAATGTCCCTTTACATTGGGGGTCAGTGGGAAGAATGTCCCTTACATTGGGGGTCAGTGGGAAGAATGTCCCTTACATTGGGGGTCAGTGGGAAGAATGTCCCTTACATTGGGGGTCAGTGGGAAGAATGTCCCTTACATTGGGGGTCAGTGGGAAGAATGTCCCTTACATTGGGGGGGTCAGTGGGAAGAATGTCCCTTACATTGGGGGTCAGTGGGAAGAATGTCCCTTACATTGGGGGTCAGTGGGAAGAATGTCCCTTACATTGGGGGTCAGTGGGAAGAATGTCCCTTACATTGGGGGTCAGTGGGAAGAATGTCCCTTACATTGGGGGTCAGTGGGAAGAATGTCCCTTACATTGGGGGTCAGTGGGAAGAATGTCCCTTACATTGGGGGTCAGTGGGAAGAATGTCCCTTACATTGGGGGTCAGTGGGAAGAATGTCCCTTACATTGGGGGTCAGTGGGAAGAATGTCCCTTACATTGGGGGTCAGTGGGAAGAAGAAGTCCCTTACATTGGGGGTCAGTGGGAAGAATGTCCCTTACATTGGGGGTCAGTGGGAAGAATGTCCCTTACATTGGGGGTCAGTGGGAAGAATGTCCCTTACATTGGGGGTCAGTGGGAAGAATGTCCCTTACATTGGGGGTCAGTGGGAAGAATGTCCCTTACATTGGGGTCAGTGGGAAGAATGTCCCTTACATTGGGGGTCAGTGGGAAGAATGTCCCTTACATTGGGGTCAGTGGGAAGAATGTCCCTTACATTGGGGTCAGTGGGAAGAATGTCCCTTACATTGGGGGGTCAGTGGGAAGAATGTCCCTTACATTGGGGGTCAGTGGGAAGAATGTCCCCTTACATTGGGGGTCAGTGGGAAGAATGTCCCTTACATTGGGGGTCAGTGGGAAGAATGTCCCTTACATTGGGGGTCAGTGGGAAGAATGTCCCTTACATTGGGGGTCAGTGGGAAGAATGTCCCTTACATTGGGGGTCAGTGGGAAGAATGTCCCTTACATTGGGGGTCAGTGGGAAGAATGTCCCTTACATTGGGGGTCAGTGGGAAGAATGTCCCTTACATTGGTGGTCAGTGGGAAGAATGTCCCTTACATTGGGGGTCAGTGGGAAGAATGTCCCTTACATTGGGGGTCAGTGGGAAGAATGTCCCTTACATTGGGGTCAGTGGGAAGAATGTCCCTTACATTGGGGGTCAGTGGGAAGAATGTCCCTTACATTGGTGGTCAGTGGGAAGAATGTCCCTTACATTGGGGATCAGTGGGAAGAATGTCCCTTACATTGGGGGTCAGTGGGAAGAATGTCCCTTACATTGGGGTCAGTGGGAAGAATGTCCCTTACATTGGGGGTCAGTGGGAAGAATGTCCCTTACATTGGGGGTCAGTGGGAAGAATGTCCCTTACATTGGGGGTCAGTGGGAAGAATGTCCCTTACATTGGGGGTCAGTGGGAAGAATGTCCCTTACATTGGGGGGGTCAGTGGGAAGAATGTCCCTTACATTGGGGGTCAGTGGGAAGAATGTCCCTTACATTGGGGGTCAGTGGGAAGAATGTCCCTTACATTGGGGGTCAGTGGGAAGAATGTCCCTTACATTGGGGGTCAGTGGGAAGAATGTCCCTACATTGGGGGTCAGTGGGAAGAATGTCCCTTACATTGGGGGTCAGTGGGAAGAATGTCCCTTACATTGGGGGTCAGTGGGAAGAATGTCCCTTACATTGGGGGTCAGTGGGAAGAATGTCCCTTACATTGGGGGTCAGTGGGAAGAATGTCCCTTACATTGGGGGGGTCAGTGGGAAGAATGTCCCTTACATTGGGGGTCAGTGGGAAGAATGTCCCTTACATTGGGGGTCAGTGGGAAGAATGTCCCTTACATTGGGGGGTCAGTGGGAAGAATGTCCCTTACATTGGGGGTCAGTGGGAAGAATGTCCCTTACATTGGGGGTCAGTGGGAAGAATGTCCCTTACATTGGGGGTCAGTGGGAAGAATGTCCCTTACATTGGGGGTCAGTGGGAAGAATGTCCCTTACATTGGGGGTCAGTGGGAAGAAGAATGTCCCTTACATTGGGGGTCAGTGGGAAGAATGTCCCTTACATTGGGGGTCAGTGGGAAGAATGTCCCTTACATTGGGGGTCAGTGGGAAGAATGTCCCTTACATTGGGGGTCAGTGGGAAGAATGTCCCTTACATTGGGGGTCAGTGGGAAGAATGTCCCTTACATTGGGGGTCAGTGGGAAGAATGTCCCTTACATTGGGGGTCAGTGGGAAGAATGTCCCTTACATTGGGGGTCAGTGGGAAGAATGTCCCTTACATTGGGGTCAGTGGGAAGAATGTCCCTTACATTGGGGGTCAGTGGGAAGAATGTCCCTTACATTGGGGGTCAGTGGGAAGAATGTCCCTTACATTGGGGTCAGTGGGAAGAATGTCCCTTACATTGGGGGTCAGTGGGAAGAATGTCCCTTACATTGGGGGTCAGTGGGAAGAATGTCCCTTACATTGGGGGTCAGTGGGAAGAATGTCCCTTACATTGGGGGTCAGTGGAAGAATGTCCCTTACATTGGGGGTCAGTGGGAAGAATGTCCCTTACATTGGGGGTCAGTGGGAAGAATGTCCCTTACATTGGGGGTCAGTGGGAAAGAATGTCCCTTACATTGGGGGTCAGTGGAAGAATGTCCCTTACATTGGGGGTCAGTGGGAAGAATGTCCCTTACATTGGTGGTCAGTGGGAAGAATGTCCCTTACATTGGGGGTCAGTGGGAAGAATGTCCCTTACATTGGGGGTCAGTGGGAAGAATGTCCCTTACATTGGGGTCAGTGGGAAGAATGTCCCTTACATTGGGGGTCAGTGGGAAGAATGTCCCTTACATTGGTGGTCAGTGGGAAGAATGTCCCTTACATTGGGGATCAGTGGGAAGAATGCTCCCTTACATTGGGGGTTGGTGGGAAGAATGTCCCTTACATTGGAGGTCAGTGGGAAGAATGTCCCTTACATTGGAGGTCAGTGGGAAGAATGTCCTTTACATTGGGGGTCAGTGGAAGAATGTCCCTTACATTGGGGGTCAGTGGGAAGAATGTCCCTTACATTGGGGGTCAGTGGGAAGAATGTCCCTTACATTGGAGGTCAGTGGGAAGAATGTCCCTTACATTGGGGGGGTCAGTGGGAAGAATGTCCCGTACATTGGGGGTCAGTGGGAAGAATGTCCCTTACATTGGGGGTCAGTGGGAAGAATGTTCCTTACATTGGGGGTCAGTGGGAAGAATGTTCCTTACATTGGGGGTCAGTGGGAAGAATGTCCCGTACATTGGGGGTCAGTGGGAAGAATGTCCCTACATTGGGGGTCAGTGGGAAGAATGTCCTTACATTGGGGGTCAGTGGGAAGAATGTCCCTTACATTGGGGGTCAGTGGGAAGAATGTCCTGTACATTGGGGGTCAGTGGGAAGAATGTTCCTTACATTGGGGGTCAGTGGGAAGAATGTCCCTTACATTGGGGGTCAGTGGGAAGAATGTCCCTTACATTGGAGGTCAGTGAGAAGAATGTCCCTTACATTGGGGGTCAGTGGGAAGAATGTCCCTTACATTGGGGGTCAGTGGGAAGAATGTCCCTTACATTGGGGATCAGTGGGAAGAATGTCCCTTACATTGGGGGTCAGTGGGAAGAATGTTCCTTACATTGGTGGTCAGTGGGAAGAATGTCCTTTACATTGGGGGTCAGTGGGAAGAATGTCCCTTACATTGGAGGTCAGTGGGAAGAATGTCCCGTACATTGGAGGTCAGTGGGAAGAATGTCCCTTACATTGGGGGTCAGTGGGAAGAATGTCCCGTACATTGGGGGT